TCTCAATCTAAACCAGGTGATTGTGCGTATTGAGTGTGTCTTTGCATTTGACTCCGCATCCACGTGAGTGCATGCATGAAAATTTTAACACTTGAAATGTCACTGCCTGAAATATGAGGTCAATAGGAACACACACTTATTTTTGTCTTGCTTTAAGTGCTTAAAGACGAAGTGGAAAAGGAGTTAATGCTACTATGAAAACATCAATTGAGTTTACACTCAGGGGAACGTGCCCTAGAATGACATCACGAGAAATAAAATAAGATTAAGGAAATGGACAATTTTCAGGAATAAGTCATGCCAGGGAAGGGATGATTGGTAATGAGTATGGGCACAGTCCTCAGGCAAAAATGCTAGTATATGCAAAGTATGTCTCTCTAGGGGCCAATATTCACTCAGCTGCTGAAGATATTTATTAAACTTACAATGTCCTGGGGACTGCAATTACTTAACAGAAATAATATCCTAGTCTAAAAGAATTCTGGGTCATTTTATGTGGAGACACATGAAGGATTTCAATGGCATTTACTACTAATGTTAGAAGTAACATTCCAGAACTAGAAAGTCTTTACTTTAGAATTGCTATGTAATAGACAAGAGAGTCCCCGAAGCCAAAGAAATATTGCCGCTTCCTCCTTTTCAAATGCTGATCTGACGTTCCTGAGGAGGAGAGTGTTTGGCTACGTTGGACAGTCCAAGATTCAGAAGCTAGAGTCATTCCACACACCCCCTTCACTCCGTTAAATCTATGTTCTGTTCTCTGGCAGCTGTTTTTGCCATTTACATTAAACGCAGATGGGGAAATTGCAAAGAACTGTCAGTTTTATTGCCGTATATAATCAGCATCTGGGCTTTATGTTACAGATACAATCCATCCAATCTCATATTTTACTGGTGCTGTAAAAACTTTTTTGAGTTTTTAAGACCCTTCCCAAATGAGGGAAAATGCTGTACTTTAACCATGTTGATTATGGAAATTGCAACCATATATACTTTTTTCCGGCCTCCATATGAATGATGTATGTGTATATGTGTTTGATATATAGTTACTGAGTTAAATGCAAATCTGTACTGCTAATTTGTTTAAAAACATACTTTGGAACCATATGTATTTATTTCATACAAGAGATCAAATTGTATCATTTTATTCAATTATATAATCTCTGTGTATGTGTGTGACTAGGCATTTTATTATATAATGCTAACTATTATCTGTATGATTACACATATACACATATATATTGCCATATTTTTATTCTTTTTCCATTTTTTTGTGAAAAAATACCATATTTTTTTCTACATCTCATAATTTTTACCAAAACATTTATAGTAGGTTTTATTTTCCTCATTTTTCAGAAAGAGAAACTGAGACACAGAGAAGCAAAGTAACTTTGCAAGGCCCTGAAAACAAATCAGTAGCAAAAACAGAATTTAATCCAAGTCTATATAAGCATTTAATCATGAAGCTACACATGTTTGTCTTTATGTATACACATATACAAAACATTAATATCTCTTGGGGAGAACTGCTTTGGCTTTGGCATGTAAATGTTATTTTGTTTAGTTTGCCAAAATAATGTAATCTGAAAAACACTGAGAATAATGCCTGAGAATTGATCACTAAGTAAGTTGAAAGTGTTATTACGATAATTTAATATCTTGTAAATGGCTTCATAACTAGTTGGAGTCTTTTAATTGCTCAACTACACTGTGTTGTATACTCTACTAATGTAGGATTTGATAGTTTTTTTATTTTCTATAACCTGAAATAAGCACCAAAAAATAATTGGTTGCAGTTCATTTTTAAGCAACTCTAAAAGTATGAAGACATGTTTGACTTATTTTTAAAAATCAGTAATTAATAAATAAGAGAAAAAATATTTGGGGATTGAGGAGGAAAGGTCTTTACTGATTAAACATACTTTCAAATTTTTTGATTGGAGCAGTTAGAAAACTGTCTCCATTTTCTTATCTCATCGAAGGTCTAACTAAAATTTCCTTATGGTTTTGATGAAGTGGTGACAGCAAATTGCTTTCACATAAACCAGGTAGATAGATAAATGGATGGATGGATGGATGGATGGATGGATGGACGGACGGACGGACGGACGGACAGAAATACTGATCGATGGATGGATGAATGGACAGATAAACAACAGACAGATGAGTGGATGGATGGACAGACAGATGGACAGAGAGATAGATGACAGGTAGACATTGATACACACACATATACTCAGTGATGAAACATTTTAGAATTGTTCACATGCAGTCTGTGGAGAAAAAGGAAAAAGGTAAGGTTCTAGCTACTTTTATATTTTTTAAAAAGGTTTTCTTATAATGTGTGGTTTATAGAATTTTCTCTCTTCCTTATTCAGTTTTCTAAATCTATTTTCATTCTGAAATTTGAAGTATTGAATTTTCTTTCTGTGAAGGACTAGCATTAGGAAGTCTCTTAATTATGGTGGATTTTATCCAGAGCATGAAAATATATCTTAGCTATTATACTATCTGTTTTTGTAACCCTGAATGTTTTTAATTAGATTCTTCATGGAACAATGGATTCATATTTATACTCTATAAGAGTCAGTAGATTCTGTGCTGTTAAAATAGAAGATAAGAGGATAGCAAAGATAGAAAATGTACATTTCATTTGCTTTTTAAAAACCTTCACCTAAAAACTATAACATTTTTCTTTATTTATAATCTGGTTTAAATATTTTTTCCCTCTGTTTTATAGGAGTAAAGATGCCATTTGAAATGTGTGTGGTTTGTAGTTTATTAAATATATTCTGGTTTTCTTATTTTCAAGGACCTGAAATTCATGAAAAGTAATTATATGAACTAGTTTTGCATTACTGTTAAGAGAAATCTACTAGTGACTAAGAATTTTTATATATTTTATAAGTAAACTTGAATATGTCTTTAACATGAAAAAAGTAATTTCTGTTTTTCAGACGAGGGATATTTTGACCAACAGTGCAGATACTAAGGACTGGATTTTACCTTTTTGTAAGAGAGAAAGGGACAGAATCTTGAAGAATAGCTCGATTTAGGGGATTGGAAAGCAAAGTCATAAATTTAGAAAAAGAAACGTAGAGTGAGAATCAGGGGAATATAGTGTCACATTCAAGGAAAGAAGGATTGTTAGCAGTGTCGAAGACTACGCTCAGTTCAAGAGCAGTAGCCACGGAGGAAGCCCGTTGCATATAGAGATTAAAGTGGTCAGAGGCTAACCCCTGAGACTGTCGACGAAAACATAATGCTGTGAAAGGGCTTTGGATCAGAAAAGGCCGAAACTTAAGCAAATTGACGCAACCTCCCAGGGGCATTTTGTTTGTTTTGATTTGATGTTCATTAATCAATAACATAAAGTATTACTAACATTCAATAAAAATGGACTGATGTATTTGACACACATAATCAATATATATTCTCATATTCATATATAAATATATAAATAGATATAAATTTTAAAATCCAAATCCAGGAAGGAAAATGGAGCCCATGCGTGGCGTTCTAGTAGAGGGATTTAATACGAGGAATGAATGAAACCCTTGTAGAATATGACACAGAAGTGAGAAAGCTGTGCCCACCCCCAGGGCTATAAAGACCTAAAAAGAAAATGATGTTATATTAAGTCAGGAGGTGGCCCCACTCATAGCCAAAATTAGGGAGAGAAGAAGCCATTGCTGAGAACCTCCCCTGAGGGGAGAATATCCTGTCATCTCCCCTCCTTCTACCTTCAGTCTCCCACCAGTATTTCCCATTGGCTGCGTTTCACAAAAACCAGTAGGAAGGTGTGCTTGGGGCTCTTGAGTCACAGAAGTCAGCTCTCCGAGATACAGAGCAGAGTAGACGAGGGGAAGAGAATTGGAAACGTTTAGCAGATGTTTGCATGGGCAGAATGAGGCTGAGAGGCAACATGTTCTGATGGACTGAAATATTTACCAGAACACTTAATGAAGTCTATGTCTTTGTTTCTTTCATAACTAGATGGGTAAATCTTGTCTTTCTCTGAGAGCAGAACTGCAGAGTAGAAAACATGAAAGTTATTTTCAACTCTCTGGTTTTAGTGCATCATAAAAATACTTCAGTTGTGTTTGAATGCACTTTGCTGCAGTGTTTTTTGCGTGAAATATGTACATAGAGAATCAACAGAGTCCAGACAGTCTTCCTGAAAATACCCGTAACACTTACGGATTTAGAATTTAAGATTTTCCTTCTTAAGAAGCGTCAAAAGTAATTGTCTGAGTGTAACAATTATTTTTTTCAACCTATAATATGATTTCTGTAGAGGACATAGAAGGTTTAAGATGTAATATTCAACAATAATTTCCTTTGTGGAAGAGCTATAATTATCGCTAAAACATGTTATATATCTATTCAGTATTTCTCCATATTTCTCTTACTGGAACTGAGGTTATTAAAATGTACCCACAACTTTGTTTCTTACAGGTACTTTCTCTGTTGTACTAAGTGGCCTTTTTGTATTGTTGACACTGTTACAGGTGTCCTCATTTTCACCCCCTCGGCCCCCTTTCGCCCAGCCCTCCTCCCCGCCCTGCCCGCCCACCCCGCCTCTGCCACACTGCGGTCTGTGTCTGTGGGCTCTGCATATATGCATGTATGTTTTTTGGCCAATCTCTTCAGTTCCCCACCCCCTTCCCCTCTGAGATCTCTCAGTCTGTTTCATGCCTCTGATCCTACTTTGTTTTGTCAGTTCATTTTGTTCATTAGATTCCACGTATAAGTAAGATATTTAATGGGCACGTAGTGCTTAAAAGCTGGGTTTTTAAAAATTTTTATAATGGCCTTGTTTTTATTCCCAATCTTACTCCACATTGAGGACACAGAACAATTAGTTTTAGTGGTCGTTTTTGAAAAAAATATTACTCACAAAGTACACCAACCTTGCTTCTTGACATGAATCCTGGGCTTGAATTAAACATATCCAAGAGCTCACGTTTCCATTTAAAAGATGAATTTTTTTATTGCAGACGTCTGGAACAGAACTCAATCAAGGTCATCCCTCCTGGAGCTTTCTCACCATATAAAAAGCTCAGAAGAATGTGAGTGAATACTATTCTGGAATATATGTAAATTTTAAAAATTTTACTGGTCATGACGATGCAAAGACACCCATTTAAGTATGGATATTTAGGTGTTTAACAGCTTAAATATTATGTAATGTGACTATTTGATTGTTAGTTCTATAATATTATAGCATTAATAGATAAACTGTGTAATATGTTAAGGTTCTCTGCAATTTAACATTTTGATTCACACCAGTGTGAATGTACATGTTTTAACAGTGTACAGTCAAATCTTAGATGTCCAATTTTCAAAAAATAAATGGTGTCTTTTATAATATTTCAGAAAATAGTCAATACTTGATTTAAAAGGATGATTTTATTTTAATTTAGGATACTTCAGATGTTTTATGTTACAAGTTTTGTACATATATTAATAGGTGTAATATTAACATGTAAAGGTAGTAAATAGCTTTCTCTTGCGGTAGTTCTCACTGACCTTCTATTTAATTTAACCTAACCCTGTTTCTAATCTTAGCGACCTGAGCAATAATCAGATCTCTGAACTGGCACCAGATGCTTTCCAAGGACTGCGCTCCCTGAACTCACTGTGAGTATCCCCACAGCCCTGAAGGAGAGCGCAATGCTTGACTTATCTGCGGCCCTGTTTTAATTTGGATTTTTAAAACATACTTCTTGAAGTTTTTGTATTATGAATTACTGATAACATTAATCATCATTAATCATTAATGAATTCCATTGTTTTCATTGAGGAATACTACCCGTCACTAACATCAGCCAGTTATTGGGGTATATATTTTAGGACCTGATAGTTTTGCTGTTTAGAGAGAAAGAGTACGAGCCCCTTTTTTGGATCATTTTTTGTTTCTGGAATAAGAGGAAAACATTTACTTGGGAATGTTCCAGTCAAAGTTGTATTTATAATTCTTAAGCCTACGGCCTCAATCTCTGGGAACAGTATCAGTCCACTTTAGAAGGAGGCTGGGGAATGGCTTGAGGCGAACAGTGAGAGATGACCACTGAGACCCGCCCCCAACTCCCTGCTTTATCACCTGAAGACTTCCCTGAAAGAACCCGCTTTCATCTCCAACAGTGCGAGGATAAAGCTTTATAGCTTTTTAATGTCAGAGGACTTTCAGGGAGATAGCTATGTAAAGTGGTTCTAAAATGAATGGATAAACGCTGTCATTTCTTCTTGTAAAAACTTTCAGAAGTCCACCAAGTACAGTAACCTTTATGTCAAATTTTAACTTTAAAATTTGAAAGTGGAGGCTGGCATGTATTTTGGAAGAGCTGATGCTTAGAGGAGGGTTCTTGCTGATGTAAATTACTGTGGAGCTCTTAGGAACTTCAGAAGTCATCAGTACCAGTGAGCATTCCAGGGAACACATGTGCAAGACCCAGATAAACACTGTGGTTTATATAACAATTTATGCTCACACTGAGAGGAGAATGAGACAGACGCTCTCACCCGGGCATATGGGATATTCAGGGTGCTGTGCCGGTCTGCTCAGCAAAGTACGATTTTCTTTGAAGAAAGAAAATTAAAAACTATCACTTCAGCAGTATCAGCTTAGGTTCGTTGTTGTTTTTTTGTGTTTTTGTTTGGGTTTTTTCGTTAGTTTGTTTTTTACTACAGGAAGTCCAAGGCTAGGAGTACAAATTGTTGACAAAAAATGTAAAACCTTGTCTCGTATGGTACTCAGGGTGGGCTGTCAGCCTTTAAAATAACACAGTTTAATGTGAAGCTCTGGTAAATCACCTACATTGTCTATAAACTACCGTGTCTACTCTGGACAATAATACTATCCAGTGTAAATGCGGACATCGCCCTCCCGGCCCTGTAAAAGGACAGAGCAATATGCTGCTTCCTTGTCGTTCAAGTATCTGTGCCTCAAAGGTAATGATTAAATGTCAAAAGAGAGAGAATGGGTTGGAGAGTTCTTATAAACTTCCCTGTGCTTCAGTTGTCCTGCCTCTAAAGTGGGGATAAGATTCCTCCCCTGCAGGCTTGGTTAAAGCAGAAAAGAAAGAAAGATGTAACAGATACGGCCTTGGCAGATTCTTCTGATGTTTATCAATTTGTATGTTTCTGGACTTGAGTTATCCCAGAGAACTCTTATGCCCCAAATCCTCAACATACATTTTTGCTCTTCTCCCATTTTTGTATTAGCCCCTTGCAAATGATTATAGTTCACTTATTCTATTTACATCCCTTCCCTAACTAGCTTCCCAGTTCCATAGAAACCTACAATCAAAGATTGTTGCATTTTGATTCTTACTGCTGCTTTTACACTTCCTACAGTCTTTTCTTGGACTCCTGTTAACTCTCATGCTCAGTATCTGGCATTTTACTACCGGGTTTCAATGAAAATGAAAATGTAGCAACCTATACTGTCTTTAAACTTGCTTAGTGTGTTAATTATCAGAGGTACATTGTTTTAATTTGTAAGTATAGCTCTCTACCATATATTGAGATAGTGAAGTCCGCCCTTAACACTTTTTACATGATAGCCATCATAATAGGTTTCTATCTCGGATATTTTTGTATTCAGTAGGAGTTCTGGCTTCCAGTAGGGCAGGAGAATCCAAAGCCTGGCCACCAGCATGACTGTATCCTACTATACTAGATAGTTTGCTACTGTCCTAGAGTTGAAACTCACAAGGGTGGAACTGGGTTTAGAATTCCTAGCCTTCCCTGCTACGAACAGGTACAGAGGAAGCCTTAAGATTTCCCTATTGTTCCAAAGAACTATAAAAAATTCTCCATCAGCATAATTGAACCCTGAGTATAGAATGCTGAATATAAGTCATGTCTGTCACTCAACTTCTCGTTCCTGGTCTTTGGACTTTTGATAGTTTAACTTCTTTTTCTTTATTATCATGTTGACCTTGTTGTATGTAAGAAAAAGGTACCCAGCCCTAGGATTGCTATACTTTTTTGTAGAAAAATCTCATCCGTATCCTACTGTTTCCTTTTTATAATGTTTTCATCTTTTTTTTTTTACGTATACTCAGTATCATCTGCACAGGTGGATTTCCTTCATCCTTGTGTTCTCTCTTTTCTCTCCCATGTACCTCATTCTCATTTGCAGTAAACATCTATTTCTTTAACACGATCTTAAAGGAAACAGAATGATTTTTTGGGAAAAAAATAGTTTCACAATGCAAATATGACCCAGCTAGCTAGTTCTCCTTTCCTACTTTTCAAGCCTACCTTTGAAGCAAAAGTCTCAAATACACAACCTACCAAATTATTTTTCCCTAATGCTTATACAGGTCTCCCACTATTTATATGCATTATACTTCCTTTTAAATTCTCAATAGGTTCAAAATATGAAACTCGTTCAGTATTCAAAATTGTTCCTTTGGATTGCTCTTCGAAGCCATACCTTATATCAGTGCATGAGACATGCAGAAATGAGAAACATTCAGAAAATAACAGTTGGGCTCAGTGTAACTGGGCATCGAGCTCAGAGCCTAGCATGTTCCAGACACACAGGAAGTGTGCAGTGTCTACTGCTGAATGACATTGGATTGAATATCCTGGACCAGTGCCATAATCTGCTCGTTTGTGTCCCTAAAGCCTCCTCTTTTCTTACCCTTGACTTTAATACCTATTAATTATTGCTTTACCCTTTCTAAATTCCTTTACCTTTGTGACCCTGACAATACAGATTTCTCTCTTCTTTGATTTTTAAAATTGTTTCTCCTGTAATTGATTTACTCTTTTAAAAAATCTATCGTCTACAGAAATGAATTTTGTGTCATGCTACATACATACCTATATCACAGGACTCCATATAAATTTAAAGTATCTTTATGCAATATAGCACCCAGGTTTATTTATTTCCTTGAGAATTGTCTTCAGTTTTGTATTATATCCAACCTCTCACTGACATCTTAAAAGGGAGGTTTTCCCCTCACTCGTATTTATCTCTCTTGTAGTATTATTTTCCTCCTTTTCAACCAGAAATTATGTACTGCTACTTGCCAAACATACTAATTATTTTGATTCTCATTTCAACTTTTTCTTCATGTATTATCACATCCATTTATTTATTTTCCAAAATTTTTTTCTTATTTTCAAAAGTAATACATGTTCATTGGAGAGAATATAAAAAATAAGAAAAAATATATTCAAATTCAAATAATCCCTGGATGGCAAATCACTTGCTATATATATATATACATACACACACACACACACACACACACACAAAATTTAAATTATGCTATAATTTAGTTCTTTATATTATACTTTGAAAAACATTTTATTAAATTTATTGAGTTGACATTGGTAATAAAATAATATACGTTTGAAGAATACAATTCTGTGATATACCACCTGTATATCGCGTCGTGTGATCACCCCCCAAAGCCAGACCTCCTCCCCTCACCATATATTTGACCCCCTGTACGCTATCCTATCTCCCCCTAATCCCCTTTCCCTCTTGTAACCACCAACTGTTAATGTGTCTCGGAATTTTTATTTGTTTTTCTTGTTTGTTCATTGTTGCTTTCAGTTTTTTATCCCACATATGAGTGAAATCATACGATTCCTGACAATTTCTATCTGGTTGATTTCACCCAGCATGATATTCTCAAGATCCATCCATTTTGTCACAAATGGCAATATTTCATCTCTTTGTTTGGCTGAGTTGCATTCCTTATATATAGGCACTACACCTTCTTTATCCAGCCATCTCTCAAAGGACGCTCTAGTTGTTTCCAAGTCTTGGCCACCGTGAATAATGCTACAATGAACATAGGAGGGCATGTATCTTTGCGAATGTTTTCAATTTTTTCCAGTAGATATCCAAGAGAGGGATTCCTGGATCACATGGTAACTCTATTCTTAATTGTATGAGGAAACACCACACTGATTTCCATAGTGGCTGTACCAGTCTACATTACCACCAGCGATGAATGAGGGCTCCCTTTTCTCTGCAACCTCTTCAACACTTGTTATTACTTATATTGCTGATTCTAGCTATTCTAATAGGTGTGAAGTGATATCTCAGTGTAGCTTTGATTTGCATTTCCCTAATAGCTAGTGAAGTTGAGCATATTTTCACGTGTCTGTTGGCCATTTACATGTCTCCTTGAGAGAAAAGTGTCACCCATTTTTTAGTAGGATTGTTTTGTTGTTGTTGAGTTGTATGAGTTCTTTACATATTTTGGATTTTAATCTCTTATCAGAGGTGTTATGTACAAATACCTTTTTCCATTCAGTTGGTTGCCTTTTTGTTTGTTGACTGTTTGTTTTTTCTGTGCAGAAACTTTTAAGTTTGATATAGTCTTACTCATTTATATTTGCTTTTACTTCCCTTCCCTTTGAGGTCAAATTCATAAAATTGTCTCTAAAACCAAGTCCATGAGTTAAGTATCTATTATTCTTTCTGTGTAATTCATTCTTTCAAGTTTTATATTTAGGTCTTTCATCTATTTGAGTTAATTTTTTTGCGTGGTGACAAAATAGCAACTTAGTTTGATTCTTTGCATGTGGCTTTCTAATTTTCCCAGCACCATTTACTGAAGAGGCTTTCTTTTCTCCACTATGTATTTTTGGCCCCTTTGTTGAAAATTATTTGCCCATATACATGTGGGTTTATTTCTGGGCTCTCAGTAATTCTATTCTATTGGTCTATGTGTCTGGTCTTTTTTTTTTTTTTTTGGTCTTGTTTTTTGCCAATATTATACTGTTTGATTATTGTTTTGTATAATTTGAAGTCAGGGTGTATGATACCTCTGGCTTCATTCTTTTTTCTCAGGATTGGTTTGGCTATTTGGAGTATCTTTTGGTTCCATACAAATCTGATTTTTTTTTTGTTCTACTTAAAAAATGCCATTGGGATTTTTATGAGGATTTCATTAAATTACATACTGCTATGGGTAATATGGCCATTTTAACTAGATTGATTCTTCCAATCCATAAATATGGAATATCTTTCCACTTTTTTGTGTCTTCTTTAATTTCTTTTAATAATTTCTTGTAGTTTTCATTGTGTAGGTTCTTCACATCCTTTGTTCAGATTATTCTAGGTTTTTTATTCTTTTTGTTGCAATTGCAAAAAGAATTGGGTTTTTTATTTTTTTCTAAAATTTTATTGTTAGTAGATAGTAACACAATGGTTTTTTGTATAATGATTTTGTATCCTGCAACTTTACTGTATTTGTCATTTCTAATGTTTTTTTGGTGGAGTCTTCAGGGTTTTCTATATAAAGAATCATGTCATCGCAAAAAGGGACAGTTTTATTTCTTCATTCCAATTTGGATGCCTTTTTTTTCTTTCTCTTATCTGATTGCTTTGGCTAGGATTTGTGGTACTACTTTGAGAGTGGGTATCCTTGTCTTGTTCCTATTCTTAGAGTAAAAGCTTTCAGTTTTTCATCATTGAGTATGATTTTAGCTGGAAGTTTGTCTTATATGACCTTTATTATGTTTAGGCACTTTACTTCTATACCCATTTGATTGAGTGTTTTAATCATAAATGGATGTCATAGCTAGTAAAATGTTTTTTCTGCATCTATTGATATGATCATATGGTTTTTATCCTTTATTTTGTTAATGTGGTATATCACAATGATCAATTTACATATGTGGATATTATGCTTTTTTAACATTATATCATGAACACTTTCATGTCACTAAATATTCATTAAAACATGACTGGCACATTTTAATTTTTCATTGTTGTAAATTATGCCCTGATTAATATTTTGTACATAAAATACAGTTTATCTCTGATTATTTTCTTAATCTCCTCAGTGAAACTACTATGTAAAAATTTATATAAACTTTTGTATGACTCTTAATATATGTTGCCAGATTGTCATCCTAAAATATGATTGCCATCTTTTCCTGTACATAATTGTGGTTTTCTACTTTTGGGGGCTAAAAACATATAGCCAACATTACAGACCTATTATTACTAACTGATGTGATGCATCAACCATATTCATTCATTTGCTGTTGAAATACCCTTATTTCACCCTCTTTGTTAATGTATGCCTTAATTAGTTCCTCTGGTAATTTACTTTTTGTTTCACTCATCATACAGTGTTCATTCTCAATCCAAGTAGAACATCACTGTGTGCCGAAACCTATGGTAGGCACCAGGTATACTGAGAGGATTAAGTCGTTCATGGTCTTTGCACGTAGTGGCTGATCAGGAGTGGGTACCGTGAGGATGCATTTCTGTTCATATTTCTTTGGGGTACCTACGTTTAAAAAAACTCCTCTGTATTAATGATCACTGTCTTCACAGATCTTACCTTTTTTCAAGGATACACATTGTATATCTAAAATGTGGATGGAGTTCCTTTTTATTTACCAACATAAGCCCAAAACTCATCCCTTCAGTGAGCAATGGATTCCATATTTAGCATTCACTTTTGTTACATGCATCTGCTGTCATTACATGTGAACTGTGCATGTATGTGTGTGTGTAAAAAATATGACAATTTAGCAGTGGACAGTTCTGTGAGAGGACAACAGAATTTTGAAATGTGTTCATTTTGTTAATTTTCCCTTGTTTTTCAATGTTTTATAAACTTTCTATCATAAGCATGTATCTGTGTATAGAGTGCTTGTGAACCTTCAATATGCTGAATATATACATGTTGGATTAATTTGTTGCGCTGGTTTGGTGTCTAGTTTTTTTTTTTCTTTTAAACAATGTTTTGTTTTGTTTTTTTCCAGTGTTCTCTATGGAAATAAAATCACAGAACTCCCAAAAAGTTTATTTGAAGGATTATTTTCCTTACAGCTACTGTAAGTATTCCATTGTTTCTGATCTGTTGAACCAGATATTATAGTTTAGTTAGTCTGCTATCTCGTATTTTCATGGAGGCTTCAGAAAAATTTGGCCCAAAATCGCATAGTTAAATGAAGTGAAAAAGATTAGCCTACTGGAACTAACATTGTTGATGGTTATTTATTTGAAGACACACCATTTTGAAGTTGTCCCAAAACCTTTCTCTCCACACTGTCACAAATACATGCATCCTGTCTGCCCTGTCATTTAAAGCTCTTACAACCCTTGCCCTCTGTGAAACTTCTCTGGTTCGATTTAATAATCCTTGGAGAGAGACATAGGGATGTGTTTATTCCTTTGTGCAAAGAATCTGCAAGAATGATGAATAACATCCCCCAACATAAAATGGTGTACAGGAGGCCAGAACACAGCAATAACACTCAAACTAATCTTTAGTGAGAGATTTACCTGTAAATCCTTGGATTATATCTTTAAAGACCACTCTGCTTAAACAATAGCCACTTCTCCTTTGCCTCAAAGGAACTATTTACTATACATAGTTACACGGCTAAGACATGACCCCAGGTGTTTTAATTAATGCTTATATGAAAAGGAAATTGGAAAAATATGCTAGCATTAAGATCATGATTGCTGGATCATCAAATTCTGTGCAAATCGCCAAACACCGACAGAGTTACCTCATTTAGAACACACACTAGCCTAGCTGCTGTGGATGCAAAGGTGAGTAGGATGTAATTACTTCTCTCAGCTAGTTCAGTCAGCCTACTTTAAGATTTTTAAATTTGTGGTTTGACTTGTATGTGGAATCCAAAGAATAATGTAAACAAATGAACAAAACCGAAACAGACTCATAGATACAGAAAACAGACTGATGGATGTCAGAGGGGAAGGGGCGTGGGGAACTGGCTGAAAAAGGTGAAGGGATTGAGAAGCACAGATTGGTAGCTACAAACGAATCCTGGGGATGTAAGTCCAGCACAGGGAATATAGTCAGTAATAGTGTAATAACTATGTATGTCACCAGGTGGGTACTGGAAATATCAGGGGACCACTTTATAAAGTGTATGATTGTCTTAACAATTTAACACCTGAAACAAATGCAAAATAATATTGAATATAAAATGTAATTGAAAAAAATAACTTTAATAGAAAAATCATTAACATAAAAAAATTTTAATTTAGAATATTATTTTCTCTTTTGGGTATATGCATTTATTTTTTGGTGTTGATGTTTATATCATTTGTGTGGTAAAAAAAAAAATTATTCCTAATTCCACAAACTTCCCAAATACAGATATTTTTTCTTACTTGATAAATATGTGTTCATAATTATATTCTATTATTCATGTTTTAAACTTTCCATTATTATCTAGGAATGTATTTGATATCACACCCCAGTTTTTACACAGGCACACACACAAATGAAGCAAATTATTAACCGGCATTTACCCTTCCTATGCCCAGTAGTGTTCATTATTTCTCCATTCCATCTCTCCAACAAACTGATGAGCCAAGGCAAATACTGATCTTTCTTACCTAAGGACTTTGGGTTTCAAATGATTTTTTTAGCCCTCACATTGGAGTTAGCAAATACTGTTGCTGATCATTTATTCAGTGATTCTATATACGTTCCCTCAGCCTCGTGTTTTATCTCTATACTAAGGCCCTTTCATAAGCCTTCCAGAGCTAAAGAGGCATGGTTGTCTCTTTACAGCTTACTGAGAACTTGATTAAGCATCTTAGATCTGCTTCAAGGAATGTAGTATTTGGGAGGAGAAGTAAGTAAATGGGAGGAACTAAATAAATTAGTGTCCAATACTTTTTTCCCTTGATTTTTGGACCATATAAATTTAAAGTACAAAATGGTCAGAAGAGCACCTTCTTCAGTTGTCCTCCAGGACCCTTCCTTGTTTCTTGCCCTTGATGTTCTGTGCTCTAATTTCTTCCTGTGGGTAGCTGACGAACTAGGGAATAAGGTCTATGGAACTTGTGTTGTGGAGGAATGGTATTAACCAGTCCATACCTCAATCCAGGCCTCTGAGCTTTTAAGAAAGTATGATGTAGAACACAGAGAAGGCCAACACTTAGGCCCCTGCAGGGGAATAAAAAAGAAAAGAGTGCAGCAAAGAAAATCACCATGAGGAAGTCATAGCTTTGCACATGCATGGAACACCTGAAAAAGCAAGCAAGTAGAACAGAAATGCCATTATGTTAATTAGAGATTCTTGTGGTCAAAGGGAAAACATTTTCAGAGTGTTAAATAATAAGGCATTCAGACCCAAGCTGCATAGCACATACATATTTTTTGAGGTACAAAATATTTGTTGAAGTCCTAAGTATCAAAGCACTGAGCTAAATGTGGATAGACAAAAAGAAATATCAAAGAAATTTCCCGCCCACTGAGGACTGTTTGGGCAAAGTGGGCCTCCCTGAGAGAGGTGACAAGACTAAGTCTTATTGGTACATGGATAGACTCATCTGTGGTAGATGCAAGAGCTCTGGGACTTGTCAGCCTTCTCGGAGTCTGTTCACCCGGGCAAGATGGAGTGAGAGGGATTTCACATGGGATCCGATCACCCAGTGTTCTTCTTCCTCATTCGCCAGTCCCCTAGCTATGTTACCTTGCCTCAAAGTCTTAAGGCCAATTCTGTTTTCATACTAGAGAAATGAAAGAGAAATAATGACATCTATTGAGCATTTTCTCTGTGCCAGATGCAGTATCTGAATTATTGAATTCAGTTTCTCACAGCACTCATTATTGCCAACTCAGAGTAGCTAAGACAATAAATTCAATAAATAACTTGTTGACTGAAAAAAAAAAAGGCTAAGTACCACGGAATAACTTCTTTTGGAAACTAGGGGAAGAATACTGTAGTTGGGCAGAAGACATATTATAGAAAATGTGGACTTTCTGTGAGGCCTTGATAGTCCAGATGTTTGAGAAAAGTAGAGAGTAGGGCACGTATATTCCCAAAGGTGAGTCCAAAGGACTAAAGTTCAGACACAATCCTTTAGCATCTATGAGAATGTTTGCCAATGTATGATCTGTAAGCCATGGTTCTGAAAAATATTGATGTAGAATATTAATCCACATATGAGAAATTAATGAGTTTGTGGCCTGTTGTGTTAAACTAAGTTAAGCAGGTATTTATGATGCAAAATGAGGGCCTTTAATATGGTAATGTACCATATCCTTCTCCAAGAAGATTGTGCACTTTTCACTTAACAACAAATGTTTACTGAGCACCTAGTACATGCTAGGCACCTGGGAAACATCCAGGAACAAAATAGACAAATATCCCTGCTGTCTGGAGCTTATGCCCTTGGGGAAAGGGACATGCAAATGACAGTCAGCGAGAACATAATAAATAAGTAAATCACATGTAACAGGTGGAAATAAGTGCTTAATGAAATGGAAGAAGTAGATCAAAATAAATGAACTGAGAGTGCTAGGGATTGGGGAGGGGCAAAGAGAGGCCTACCGGTTGAAAGAGAGCGGTCAGGGTAGGCTGAACTGAGAAGGTAAGATTTGAGCAGACTCAAAGAAGCAAGGTAGTTAGCCAGGCAGACAGCTGGGAGGCCACTCCAAGCAGAGAAGGGAGTCTGGCAAGGAGGCCTGTGTGGCTGGAACTGAAATAGCCCAGAGGGGAGAACTTGGAGGTCGCGAGTTCAGAAGAGGGCACAAAGATCTTATTGAGTGATAGAGGCTAGTGTCAGGACTTTGATTTTATTCAGAGCACAGTGGGAGTTGTTGCAGGGTTCGGAGAGAGGAGCAATGTGATTAGGTCTGTGTTTTAGGAGACCAGATCACATCACTCTGTCTTCTGTTGTGGGAACAGACTGAACTTCTCTTTCATAGATCAGTTCAATGGACGAAGGTTTCATGGCACTTTTTTTTCCCTTTGATGGCATCCTTGACAGCAGAGGCTGGGTCTCATCCACCTTTGCCCACTGCACTACCTCTACACCTTCTAGACAATTTGTTTAATCATGTTTTATTAAATAAGTGTGTAAATATCTCTAGATTGGGGCATTCCTTAGACAGCATGGGCCCTGCTTTATCTGCTATTGGTCCAGATCTTCAGCCTGGGATACCTGAGTTATGACAGTATAAATGTCAGTGTTGAGGGCAGAAGAAATGTGTTTCTTGGTTGGGTTTTCCCAAGGACAGAATCTCAAAAGTAAGATAAGGAGATGCCACACTTTAATTCTACAACTATTTAATCAAACAGATTGTTGAATGCCAACAAGATAAACTGCCTTCGGGTAGATGCCTTCCAGGATCTGCACAACTTGAACCTTCTGTCCTTATATGACAACAAGCTTCAGACCATCGCAAAGGGGACCTTTTCACCTCTCCGGGCCATTCAGACCATGTGCGTATATGCGACTTGGGTGGAGTTTGATGACCCTTGTTTTCACTCTGAACTTCAGAGCTGAGCTCCTTGCAAGTCCCATATAAAAGTGTTCTGTATGTGTTTCTGAAAGGCATTTGGCCCAGAACCCCTTTATTTGTGACTGCCATCTCAAGTGGCTGGCGGATTACCTCCACACCAACCCTATCGAGACCAGTGGTGCACGCTGCACCAGCCCTCGGCGTCTGGCAAACAAAAGAATTGGACAGATCAAAAGCAAGAAATTTCGTTGTTCAGGTAATTTCTTACCTCACGTGATATTTCCCATGTTACCAAAAACAGTGGTTATGGGACACCTAGAGACAGCTGGCCTTTGCCTGAACTACCAAACATTATGCAATCACACTTCTTTGTCTTTTTTTCTTACATAAATTAAAAATAAAGAGGGTCATAAACACAATTCATATAGGCTTCCTATGTGTAACATTTTTTTAACACTATATGAAACAGAAGAAATAGGCTACTGGCCAAGAAAAAAATGATGCATGGTTACTTCATACTGTATTCCCAGGGAGCCAGCATAACAGGGGCCTTTTAGTTAACTCACAATGCCTTTTAAGCCTGTTAAGTTTCATGTCTGTGGTATTATTCTCCATTGAGAAACTTAAGGTAATTAATCATGTTTTCATTGCTTCAGGAAATGAACTGAGACTTGGTTACGTGATTGCTCAGGCTGAGAAGTAGGGGAAAATCTCCCGATCCCTTACTGAATACTGCTTTCTCATTTTTGCATTCTCTTATTTTGAGTAGGACTATGAGGCTACATTTTTTCCCCCCAAAGGTCATCTTTTAACATGTTGGGAATATTACATTTATTTATAGAAAGCCAAGCATAAATGCATTTTGTTAATATTAAATAGAAGGCTTACTTCATTGAAACTTACAATTTGCTTTGGTCTAATCTTTTCTATTTTCTTATAATAAAATATATTCTGTATTGTTTGAGCAGTATGCTACCTAACTATTCCAGACCTATTTCACATTCAACAGTTAATTCACACTAAAAAGCTAATATCAAGACAAAGCTGGTTATTGTCCATGATTCTAGATGTTACTACTCACTATACATTGTTATACTTCAGCCCCTGCTGAAAATATACGTTTTCACTTAAGTATCTGTGGTAACTTTAGTCCATTCTTAATCTAATATAACTCATATCTCTGCTTGCTGACATTCAGGTGCATATTCTATTTTTTTCTCTTTTTTTATTTAGCTAAAGAACAGTATTTCATTCCAGGTAGGTTTGCTCGGTAGTAGGACTAACTGCAGATACCCTTTCCTCACCTTATAAAATATAGCTTCTAAAACTTTGATATGCATGCTTTTGAAAGTACAGTGGGTACTGTGTAGATAGATTTACTTTTGCATAGATCACTTATAGCTGTTTCCTGAACACCTGACCTTTGCATGCAGCTTCTGATGTTAAATATATATATTATTAAACTCCCACCTTTTCCCTCCCTCCCTCTCTCACTTTGGCACATTATCTAAAATTTCTCACAGTAGCTAAAATGTTTGAACCTATGGCTTTCTACTTAAATCATTTTCTCTCCTTACATTATATACCTGATCTCAACCTGTTTTTAAAATATAGCTTACGAGCTGGTTTTAAAGACAGAGACCTTTCTGTTGTCAAAGAGCTAGTTCTTCATGAAATCAGCTGCAAACACACACGCAGTCGTGGTTTTCCGTCATGGAACATATTTTTTATTGGTTTTATATTTATATTAAAGGAGCGTCCCTTAATTTTTGCTTGACTTTGCTTACTGTTGCTTCACTTTTTATACAAAAGCATCAGCTTCCTGCTGATTGACATGCAGCTGTACTTTCTCTCTGACACAACACTCTGGCCCTGCTGGAGCCAGAGTGTAGCTCCACAGAAGCAACCGTGACATCCACCCACAAAGCATCAGAAGTTCATGGGCACTAAGTACCTTGAATAATTCAGGCCAATGAAGGAAATTTTCTTAGAGAAGTAATGAAAATGTTTTAGCATTACACTCTTAACGCTGTTGTTAAGGCTGAAGATTCTAGAACTAGCTCTTTGAAATATGTTTCTTGACTTATTTTTTTTCTTGCTTGCCAATTGTGTAAAATGCCTCTTGACTTGTTTGTTTTAAAACCATTATATTAAAAATAATATATATATGTATGTTAAGTAGTAATTGATTTGCCACATTTACCATGTCCTGGTATATTCTAGACTATAATGTATTTTAACATTTATAAACAAAGATACTTTATATAGTATTAGTGTGTAAAACCATACCTATTTTTTTAAAGAACTCTGGTTTTGGTCTCTATTTCAAAGAGATAGGTGTTGCTTGCCATTCTTGAGTTATGATTTGAATAATGTTATGCATTTGACAGATTTTGTTTTATTACCTATTTTAAGCTTGAGTGACCAATAATATTTTAGCCATTATACTGGCAGCATAAGAATTAGCATGTCAAAAAAAGTAACATGTTGAACAGAGATTGATTGGTTTACCTTATTTTTACCTAGAAAGTCATCTGATAACTATTACTTACTCAGAAAAAGTTCTGTTCTAAACATCAGAACACCTATAGGATAAAACAATATTACTTAAATCCCAAAATTATAACAGTTAATATAATTGTTAGTAAATTACTCAATTACATTTAAATATACTTTATTATTTACTATTACATTACATATTTTATTTTAAATATTTATTTATTACATAATATTTTAAATATAATTCATTAATAATTTAGAAAATACTACTTTCAATTCACCAAATAAAGACAAGCGTCAGGTTGTTTTCATAAATTCTAATGCATTTTTGCCCAGTTATTGACAGCAGCCAAAATCGATATTAGAAAATACCTTTTATATCGGATATCATGACTTAATTGTCAGTTTATGAGAATTCAATTTACATTATTTAAAACAATAATTTTAGAAGTCAGGACTCAGAAGAATTCTTTGGTCCTGCTCTCCCTTTTTTTCCGGATTTTGATGAAAATTCGAGCATACCTAAAGAGTCACCACAAAATAAAAATCATTGTCATTGTACAGAAGATGAATTACTTTAAATGTAAGATACCTAGTGTGCCTATTACTTAGACTTTGTTCCCAGTATTTTCTTATTTTAAGTTTAAAACAAAAGCTTAAACCACAGTACAACAGATTTTCAATAAATGTCATGGCATTAATTTCCAAATGTAATGAAGCTATTATATTCAGCTTTGCAAGTTTTTTATCCGATTCCATTTGAACTGAATAACATCATTTGTAAAATGGAAAAGTGATTACAAAGCATGTGAGCCATAACCTAAGGATTAATCCAGACATGCTGACGACAGTCCTTGAAGATCTCCATGTAGTTTTACACGTTTGCTTGCCTCCCACCATTCTGTCTGGCATTCTAGATACCACAATGATAACGCAAAAGAATATCCATCTTGCAGAGTTCCTCTTTTAAAGGAATTGACCAGAACTTAATTTGTGCTATGCATCTTGGCTGCCATTGCTTTTCCTATAAGACCACTATGCTTCAAAAAAAATATTACAAAAGTTTACAAAGCATGACAATTCCCATCCTACCATACCATTGCCCAATAATTGCCACAGTAAGGAAAGAAGAAAGAGACCTTAGTTTTATATATATATATACACATGCCTATAACCTTAATTGGGATTACTGTCTTTCCTTCCTTCTTGGTGATCTTTACTTTTACAGGAGTTCACCTTTTGGGCTGTAAGTAATGTATCTGATCTGAAACATAATGTCCCCCCTTTTCAATCCTGGTTGTACCTACCTACTCCTAGTCTTGGTCTTTTGCGCCTTCTTTTTCTCAAGAAGAAACCACAGATCTTTTGAGCTTCTCTGTTGTCCTTGTAGCGCACGTCCAACTTCTTCTGGATGTTGTTCCCGAACGCTGTTGTTTCCATTCTGCAGTTCTGAGGAACAGCGGAGGCACCTTTCAGTGTAGCCCCTTCTTTGTGTTTCCAGGAAACCTTCGGTAGTAATACTCTTACTATGGTCATACACATTCTGCGGGAAGAATGCATGTCATGTAAACAGTATTACATTTCCAGAACGTCTGTAGCTTTTCTCCTGCTTCCCTTCATCCTTCCTCTCCGTCTTCCCCTTGGCCTAGTGGATGGTGTAGTGATTATGTAGCGAGATTTTCTGTTGTGCTTGATCTAACCATGTGGTTGCCAGGTATGAGTAAAACATGGTTCCGTCAAGCACCATGGAACGTCACGCAGCTTTCTACAGCATGACAAGCTGCTGAGGCTTAAATCAGGATGTACTGGTCTCTCTTTATAAAATCAAAATGAAAAAAAGAGGGCTTTTTGGGCATTTCTGGAGATTATGTGAGAGGGGGAGAATAATAAAAGACCATAGAAAATTTAAAAACCTGAGTACATCTATCTGCCTTGAAAGCCCTAATTTTAAATGATATATAGGGATATGTTTATAACTGGATACATTTTAAATTCTTGACACCGAGAAAAAAATAATCTTTTTAACAATTAATAGCCAATGTGTGATTCGCTGTCAAATAGGCTAGAATGGCTCATAACTGGATCAGCAGAAAGTACAGCTGTGAAAAGCTCATCTCTCTTAATGTTTTCCTGTCCTGTGAATCTAGTTACTCTTTTTTTTCCAGCAAATTCCAAGCCCTTGTTTTAACCCTCTCCTGACATCCATTGACCAAATACCCCTAAGTTGTCTCCCTGCTGCATAATCTATAGATATCCTCCTTTTTTCTTCCTACAAATTAACAAACATTCTATCCTGTAGACTGAGTATCTTTCTGTTTTATTTTTCTTGGCTTGAATCCTCAATAGGTACAGAAGATTATCGATCAAAATTAAGTGGGGACTGCTTTGCAGATCTGGCTTGCCCTGAAAAGTGCCGCTGTGAAGGGACCACAGTTGATTGCTCCAATCAAAAGCTCACCAAAATCCCAGACCACATTCCCCAGTACACGGCAGAACTGTAAGTTCCTCTTCCCACTAAACTCAGGTGGGGCGGGAGGTGACGAGAGCATCAAAGCATTGGAATCTCGGTCTTGCCCTTTTATTCTCAATAACTACATTCGTCTTAAGTAATATACGTTGATGTAGCTCTTCTATGTGCAAGGATATTTTAAAGGCTATCTTACTTCATCTTTTTGGCCCAAGATACAATTACAGAAATTCAGTTAGCGCTTAATAATACTATGAATAATAGCATTCATGCGATACTTATTTCTTGAGCATTATATTTGCCAAACCCACATCTGAACAATTAACAGATTTTTTTTTTATTGTTGTTCAAGTACAGTTGTCTCTATTTTCCCTTTCCACTCTCCTTGGCCCCAATTAACAGGTTCGTAGCATATTTAGTCTTTTCAGCAACCCAATAAAGTAGTTTGAGAATCGTCATTTTGAATCTCTTTGTTCATTGGGAATTCAGAGTCTTTTTTTATCTGCTTTACTACCTCACTGACTCATGGCTGCAAGGGTTTGGTGATTGTCAAGTACAAAGCACAAAGGCTAGCGTAGCAGGAAGGGCTGAAAGGGTGTGCTCAGATTTATATTTATAACCCCCGCAAAGGGCCTGGCACATGCTGGGATCGTTTATAGGTATTATGGCCATGTACGGTTTGCCTTTACTGACTTTATTTATAGAAGTGAGACATTTAATGTTAGTGTTATAAAAACCCAAGAAAAACCTGGTGAAATCTCATCATTTTCTGATCATTTTAGCCATGTTTATGTCTGGTACCATCTGGTATTTGTCATTATCCACTTTGCATAGTTGGTTGTCTTTCTCTGCATGTACAATCCTTCAACTAGATTATAGCCCCTTAATGACTGGCGTTGTGTTTCATAGTTTATCCCCCACTGTGTCTATACTCATGCCTGTTACTTAATGAATATTAAGCAATTTGAATAATTAAAAATAATGTAATGCTTTCAAAGAGATGACAGAAACTAACTGCCCTGTGATTATAGTGATGGTTTTTTATTCCTGTTAGTTCAGAAAGCTTATTTCATAGCGACAGGACTCTTAGAAACTCATGCAGATCATGCAGTTAAACCCCAAACTCTATTTTTGTATTCATGTAGGGAGTTATGCTTATTTCCAATAATACTAAAAACTACAATTCAAATCATATCTTCCAGCATATAATATGTTAAGTATGCTTACTTGTCAGTCAAGAATTGTATTAGAAACTAGTGTCTAATTTATTTTTCAGCAGAAGTCATGTTTGTGTGTTAAGAAATTAAGGATTTTTAAAAATTATACATTTAAAAATCAGCACTTGGAAGAAAATCTTTGCACACCATATATCTGATGAAGGACTTATAACCAAAATGAATGAATAAAGAATTCTTACAACTCAGCAATAAAGTAAAAAATAAAAATGCACATTATCCATTTAAAAAGTGGTCAACTTATTTGTTTGGATATTTCTCCAGATATACACATGGCCAATAAGCACATGAAAAAATTCTCAGTATCATTAAGCATTAGGGAAACAGAAATCAAAACCATAATGAGGTAACAGTACACACCCCCTAGAATGGCCATTAAACAAACAAACAAACAAAGGCAGTAACAGGTGAGAGAAGCTGGATCCTTCACACTCTGCTGCTGAGACTGTAAAATAATGTAGCCCCTTTGGAAAAGAGTGGCTGTTTCTCAAAGAGTTAAACGTCAATTTACCATGTGACTCAGCAGTTTCACATATACACACACACACACACACACACACACACACACACACACACACACAGGTATATATATCCAAAAGAATTGAGAACATATAGCCACAGAAAAACTTGTACACTGATATTCATAGCATTATTTATAATAATCAAAAAATGGAAGCAACCCAGATCTTCATGAACTGATGAATAGATAAACATAAAGTGGAATGTCTATGCAATGGAGAATTTGGCCATTAAAAGGAACGAAATACTGATATATGCTAAACTTGGATGAACCTTGTAAACTTTATGCAAAGGGAAAAAAGCCAGCTACAGAAGGCCACATTTGGTATGATTCCATTTATATGAAATCATAGGAATAGGAAAACTTATAGAGACAAAGTAAATTAGTGATGGCTGAGGATTGAGGTGGCAGGAAAGCAAATTGAGAGTGATTGCTAATAGGTATGAGTGACAGACACTTTCTAGAATAAGATAGCAAAAATGGTTGCACAATTTTGTGAATGTACTAAAAACCACTGAATTAGATACTTTAAAAGGGTAAACTTCATGACATATAATTGTTTATCAGTAAAATAATTGATAACAAAAATTATGGAGAAGGTGATTAGGAAAAAGAGGGTCTAAAATGCTTTCTTGGGGAGGGGCACTAGTAAGAAAAAAAGTTTGTGATTACTAAAAGAGAGCTTGTTTTGATTTTTGATCATTAAAATTTGAGTGAAATGGTAAAAAAATTCAGTGTAGTTGACCCTTCATTTTCTCGGGTTCTGCATTTGCAAATTTAAACAACCCTGAATGGAAAATATTTTTTCAAAGTTACCTAGTTGCTGACATGTTCTTTGTACTTAGGTCTATGATGGTTGGCCTGTACTGAATACAGAACATGCACAGACATTTTTTCTGGTCATAATTTTCTTAAAAAAATACAATATAACATCTATTTACATAGCATTTACATTGCATTAGATATTATAAGTAATCTAGAGATGATTTAAAGCGTATGGGAAAATGTGTGTAGGTTAAAGGCAAATACTGTATTATTTCATACACGGGACGCGAGCACCTGTGGATTTTGGTATCCGAGGAGTGTCCCAGAAGCAACCCTTCTCAAATATTGAGAGCTGATTCTATTTTCCTCAGATCTTCTGTGATGTGTGTCCTGTAGTTTGCTTTAGGATAATCATTAAGTAATGTTATAATTCTGTATGACAAATAAAATTTTATCCCTTCTTTCCTCTTGGTAATGAAACTTTTCTGTTTCTTTTCCTTAGGCGTCTCAATAATAATGAATTCACAGTGTTGGAAGCTACAGGGATCTTCAAGAAACTTCCTCAGTTGCGTAAAATGTAAGCCGTGCATTAGCCATCTTTGTAAATTTCTGTTGTATTTTGTTGTGTTTTCCCATGCCTTTGCAGTTTCATTTAGATTTCTTTGAAAATAGGAAAATGTAAAAGATCCAAAGAAATTTCCATACAGTGGCTACCTGTGGCATGAATGTAGGGTAATCCCTGAGAGGAACCTGAGTGATTGGCTCTTTTCTGTACATTCCAGTGGTGCCAACCACATCGTCCTAGCAGAGCGCTGGCGTCTCGCTGGGACTCATACAGCTGGTCTGCTGTGCGGCCGCAGCCGCAGCCCAGCATCAGAGCACATTAGAGATGGGTTCGGTAACATCTTGTAACTTCCTTTACTATCCCAGGAACCAAGCTGTTATTTCTCTTTCAGCACATTCATGTCAACTATTTGACTTTTTGCTTCATTAAACTTTCATTAGGAGATAGTCAAAATTAATGATTGCTAAACTGGCTTGATAGCTCATCTGTGTTACTACCCATTCACAACTCATATTTCAAAATAATTTTGTAAGCTCAGCAGTTTCAGCAATGCTCAAGACAGCGCTCCGGCCCCTGAGGAGCAGGGAGGGAGGAAGGGACAGGACAGAGGCCAAGAGTGTAAGGCCAAGGGAACGCCCTCCGCCTGTGAGGAAACATCAGAAGGAGGAAAGGGGCATTGTCCTGTGATAGCCGTGCTTTGTTATACGTGTACCTGGCCCACGGCCATAGACTGTGGGAGGTGGAGAAGACTGAAACTACTTCTGTGACCTTGACCCCCGTATTAAGAACTGCCTCCCAGAGAGTTTCTCCTTCTTAAGTGTTCTCCTTTTTCTCTGATACAAACTGCTCTTTCTTCTTAGCTATAGGACACCTTTCAATTGAATACATATTTATTGAGCAGCTATTATGTGCAATGCTCTGAGAAGAATAAAATGACGTTCCTAGTCTTGGAATGAGCAGTGAGAAACAAAATACGGACAGTTAAGTTGGTTGTTTTGGCGCAGTATTACATAAGTCTCACTGGTAACAAACTCCTATTCAGATATAGTTCTGATACTGTCTAAAGGCTCACACACTTTAGTTCATTCTTCTCTCTGCCCAATTGCCTTCTTTTAGTCATTAATTCATTCAACACTTTTAATCAGGGGAGTTTCTTTGGAAAGTTCCTTATTAAGTTTTGTGGCAAACAAAGATTTACTCAACTCAGTAGCTGACCTTAGGAACTTTCTATTCCTAGGGACCCACTCAGATCCCTTTAATGATGACCAGCCTAGTATTTTTCACTATAAACATTGCCCTTAGTACTGTCATTACTTTGACTTGATGGAATCAGGAAGTGGTGTCTCTTCCGAGCCCTGGGAGTGCTGGGCAGAGAGGAGCTCAGCGATTGTGAGAAGCCATTCTGTAGATGAAATGGATCAAGCATGGCTCAGTGTCTTCCCTGTTAGGAAGAAATTGTTTAAAATCTGTTTCAACAATTTTTATTTAGAAACTTTAGCAACAATAAAATCACAGACATTGAAGAGGGAGCTTTCGAAGGAGCCTCTGGTGTAAATGAAATACTGCTCACAAGTAATCGCTTGGAAAATGTGCAGCATAAGATGTTCAAGGGATTGGAAAGTCTCAAAACTTTGTAAGTATTCTTATTTGCATTGTGATTCTTCTAATACAGGATTGCACTTCATTGGTCATTATAATCCTAGAGAGAGGTTGGAGATTCTATTCTTCCTCATCCCCTCAGCTAGCCACCAGCCATCTCTCTCTTCCCCCCACACCCCCCCGCCCCACACACACGTTGCTGGATGCAGACAGTCTCTTACTCTAATACCAATAACTTCAGAAGAGCAAAAGGGTCTCTCCTTGCTGCAATTCAACAACAACGACAAGAAAACAGGTCATCTTTGATCCGCTGCTTGTAGAGATTTGGCTCCTCTGATCTGCCTCAGAGTGAGCGTTCTTTTTCCTTTTCTTCAAACACCTCCATCTAAGACTCTGTCTTGGCCTATGGTAACTAGCTTTAGAGTCCGCTGCAGCCTTGTGGAAGAGCAGCTTACCTGGAGAACACCTTTGTCTGCGCCTGCAGGGACTTACTGCAGAAGAGACTGGTTGGTGTTGGAACATTTACTATGAATTTCAAAGCAAACCTGCTAAGAGTTATGCCTGCTTACTTGCTTAGGGGTTGTGAGGTTGGGAAAAAGAAATTCTGTATGTTTCCAAACGGTCGGCCAAGGAGGATGGGATTGGAATAACTAGTAACGACAACTCTCCGAGTTACTTGAATTTTCTACAGAGCACATATATACTTTTTATTATCTCCAAAGTGTATAATTATGTTTGACAAAAGGGATGGCCTAAAACTTGGAAGAGACACAAACCAAACGCTGAAGGCTGTGGAAGACACGAAGGAAAACTGTTTTCACCCAGCAGCCTCCCTTGGCGACTGCAATGAAGGCAGCCCCGGACCACTATCCCCCCAACCCTCATCTGCTCCCATGGCCCTCAGAGCCTCAACCAGGGGACTGAGAGCCAAGGGAGGGGAGTCCGTGGCCTGCTCTTTATCCGATGCAAAGGGAGCAAGCAGTCCTCCAGCCAGGGGGGATGTATTACTAGCATCCCAAATTCAAATCCTGCTGAAAAATTTCTGCCTGGGAAAGTACAGATGAGATCCTTGAGGAGTAGCCTGGAACCTAACCATCCAGCAGGACCCCTCTCATGCGCAACTTGGAGCCCCTTCAAAATCTTATGCAAATATTCCTTCAGCCTTTTTTGGAGGAGATAATGAGTGTGTAGAAGGACAGCAGAGCATTGTACCGCGGGCGGCTGGCTGCATCTGCCACCACCCTCGCGCCCCACCCCCAAACTGTCTCAGGGGACTCAGGAAAACTCAAGTCCTGCAACAAGCAGACTCCTTCCTTCTTAGACAGTAGTTGAAGGACTGACTACTTGTTACTGAGTTTCTCCTTGACTGGGCAGTGGGAGGGGAAGGGAGGGGAGCCTGTAACTCCAACTGAATTAGCCTGCCTTGGGCTGCCATAGTGACAAACCGCAGACCGGATGACTTAAACAACAGAAATACGTTTTTCTGCAGGTCAGGAGGCTAGCAGTCCAAGATCAAGGTGCTGAGAGGGTTGGTTTCTGGTGAGGGCTCTTTTCTTGGGCTTTAAGCTTGCCATCTTTTCACTGTGTTTTTACTGAACTTTCCTCTGTGCATGCGGAGGGAGAGCTCTGGTGTCCCTTTCTTTTCTTATAAGGACACGATTCCTGTCAGATTAGGGCCCCACTAATAAGACCTCATTTAACCTGAATTGCCTCCCTAAAAGTCCTATTTCCAATGCAGTCACATCAGGTGTTAGGACTTCAACATACAAATTTCAGAGGGACACAGTTCAGTTCATAACACCCCTCCAAAGAGTTCAACAAAGTGTTTCATCTGACTCGTTTCATTCACAGGACTCTCCCTGAGAAAGGGGTCCCTAAATTCATCTTTCCCCTTAATCATGTGTCCAGCAATTTTTATGTTCCTCTTCTGTTTGGGCACCTGAGGTGAATATCCACCTGGCTCTCTGCTTAATCCCACTGTATCAGAGCAAGCATAATAGAGCCTTTAGGGCCCAGCTCGGGTAGCCAAAGGCCTGAAGTAGGTTTATCTGGACGTATGTAGTCCTGTAAGTGGGAACTTCCAGCTTGGAGCTATAAAGATCTTGACAGGACACCCGTATTGTCCCTAGACTTCTTTGAATCCCTGATCACAGGTAAAATGTGGTCCATATGTGCTTACAGATTTTTGTAGTGACAGAAAGCAAAGCTTTCTTTAACTTCTCCCAGGGGTTTGTGACTACAACAAAATTAAGACCAAGTACTCTTGATTATTTATGGCCACGGACAGTGCTGAGAGAAATCCTTTTTTGTTGTGCATTTGTCCCATAAAATGATGTCTTGGTAAGGAGGCATCATCCTTTCCTCTTATCTGTGACTTGGCAGGATGCAGCTGATATTTCTTATTTATTAGAGGGCAGTCTAGAGGTTTAAAGGAACACTTTGTTGTTAATTTATTGTGCCTCTTTTTTATACCCTGCAATCTTCAAATAGGGTAGTCAACGCATATTTAGAAAAATTAAGGATAAGAAATTAAATTTTCAGCAATTTTGTGTGAGATTTATGGCAGCTATTCATTGTGACGTGGGATTTTTAGACACTTCTGTTCTTTTTCTAAGCCCCACAGATAAAGAGTTTAGACAAGAATCAAGAACTGAACCAAAACTGTAGCAGTGTTGCCAGAATGACCAGTGTTAATTGTATTCGAGGCAATGACTTAAAAAAAAAAGTCAGAATTTTTTTAAGAGAAGCCCCATTTCAACCTCCTGTGAACAACTAAGATCTTTAACTATTGCTTCTTTTTAAGTTCTGAACTTACAACAATGAAACAACTTCCATAAATAAAATAATTTGTGCAGGCTCTGTGGATGCTCCGTCGAGTTTGACTCCCCATGCTAATGTGGACATTGACTTGGCGTGTAAGTCCCTGAGATGCCCTTCATTCCTCATTGGCTCTGTTTATTGATTCCTTTCTGCCTCCCTTCTGTTCAACCTCAAATGTAATACTGCAGTGAATACACAAATCACAGGACTTCAAGGGCTTAGAGAGCTGTAGGTGAATTAGGACATTATGTAATCATGCAAACAAAATGATAACATCAAAGGGAAGCATTCTACCCTTGTCTGATGGGGTTGGAAATCCACAGCCAGGCTCTCCTTGCTTTTTTGTAACTGAGTGTAATCATTGACAACTAACTCGAAGCGCATTTTGCTTTTGCAGAAGGTTCTCCTCAGTACGTAGCCACAGTGATTCCTAATGTCTAGAAAACATTCGGAGAACAGTAATGAAAGCTACAAATCTGCAGAGAGGAATTATTTTGGCCCTCAGATAGGCAAAATTGATTGCCTGATGCTTTATCTCCATAACAATGTTCCTTTTTTCCCCTCAGGATGTTGAGAAGTAATCGCATAAGCTGTGTAGGGAATGACAGCTTCATAGGACTGAGTTCTGTGCGTCTGCTTTCTTTATATGATAATCAAATTACTACAGTTGCACCAGGGGCCTTTGACACTCTCCATTCTTTATCTACTCTGTGAGTATGAAAATTAGTCTTCATTTGTGTATTACTTGAGCCACTGTATTACATTTATTACTTTCATTGATAGCCTTTTAATGCGTTTTTGAGCATTTCTTAAAAACATGATGAAGGTATGCAGGTATTTTTTTTTTAAAGACAAATTTGTTCATGTTAAATTTATTTTAACTTTTCTAAAAAGATTACCTACTGTCTTATATTAAAAGTAAAGAAAGATCATAGTATTTTTCAATCAGTTCTTTTTTATAATAATGTCCTGTGGCTTAATTTATAATTTTAATCATATAACTCAAATGTGTTGCAAATAAAAGGAATGTTACCGGTTTTTCCCAGTGTTCTTGCACCGGAGTCTTTTCAGTATAAGTAGCATAGAAACAGAGTGGATAAGGTTATTGCCACCATGCAGTGCTCAGAAGGGTCATTCACAATGACAGAACGGCATCATGATGACCAGGACAACAAGAACAGCTACTCACTGGGCCCAGGGTCGGGGAGCTGGGCAGCATTTACTAAGATACTGGGGAAATGAAGAAACAGGTTGAGCCTTTCCAGAAGGATATTTTTTGTAGACAGTTCGAGAATAAGGAACATTTGTAGGCTAAGACACAGAACTCAGAAAGTGTCAAAAAGAAAAAAAAAAAAACACCAACCCTCTCCAAACAATGTATTTCAGATGCCTTGTATATCAGTATCTAAGAAGCAGTGTTTGAAATAATAAATCTTGTAACTGATTTGATTTCCTGGTATTGGTGGCATACTAATATAACTCAAAAAGTAGTTAGAAATTAAAAAAAAAAAAAACATGTTCAACAGAAGTCATTAAAGAAATAATTTGAGGGAAGCATCCATCCACCAGCCAAGTACTTAATCCTCTTTCCACATAAAATGTGACATTTTACATGGGGTGACTAATTTGTGCATATTAAATATGGCATGTTTATAAATAATGGAATTGTCAATAGGTTTGTGCTGAAGTGGTGAGATGCCAAAAGTATGGAGATTTCTAGAAGTAAATTCATTTTTATAACTGGCATTTAATCAACTCGGCTGTCAGTTCAGATGGGAAACCTATTCTCTGGAGCAAATAAGAGATGGAAATCTTGAAATGACAAATTAATGAAAGAGCTGTTGTCAGGTTAAACTCAATAATATAAGGTAATCAGCCTTCATCTTTATATTAAGTTATTGCATTATCAGGATAGGGAAGTCTGACAGCAACTCAGATCCCAGACAAGTTTAAATTATCTCTAAATGAGATGTCTCTCAGGACCCCCTGTATAAGCCCTAAATTGCTGCCTTCACTTTTTTTTTGCATGAAATTATTTGAAGAATTCCTATAGGAAAGTGTTGTTATTTTATACATTTCACATAAATGTTTTAGCAGAAAACAAAAAACGCATCTCGTATGTTGTGATTGAGTATGAACTAGGGACTGGAGAGGAAAACGAAAAAAAAGAAGAAAACATTCCAACAAAAATAGTGTGGCAAAGGAATAGCGGTAGCATGGGGTTTTGAGAAGTAAGAAAGTGAAACCTTAGACTCAACTCTGCGTTGTTTGCATTTGGCGCTCAGAAACCTCTTGGCCAATCCTTTTAATTGTAACTGCTACCTGGCCTGGTTGGGAGAATGGCTCAGGAAGAAAAGAATTGTCACGGGCAATCCTCGATGTCAGAAACCATACTTCCTCAAAGAAATCCCCATCCAGGATGTGGCCATTCAAGACTTCACGTGCGATGATGGTAAGAAAGCCTCTGGATGGGCCTGGAAATAATTACGCTAAGTGAAACAAGCCAGTCAGAAGGGCAAATGCCGTACGATCTCACTTATATGTGGGATCTAATCAACAAAACCATTTAACAAACAAAATAGAAACACAAGCATAGGTACAGAGAATAGACTGACAGCTGTCAGAGGGGAGGGGGTTGGAGATCTGGGTGGAAAATATGAAGGAATTAAGCAAAAATATACACACACACACACATATGAATGACACATAGACACAGATAACGGCGTGGTGATATCCAAAGGGAAAGGTGGGGTGGGTCAGGGGAGGTGGAAGTGGGCAAAAGGGCGATAAATGCGGATGGAAAGAGACTTCACTTTGGGCAGTGACCACACAGTGCAGCGTGCAGATGCTGTGTTATGGAGTTGAACACTTGAAACCTGCACGGTTTTAGCGTTACGACACTCACCTGCCCAGCCGGGACTTTCCTCTCCAAGTCTACTCTGTGTTTCTTAATCTTTTAGGTTTTCCAGTTTCTAACTTGTGCTTGATACTCTTTTTATAGCTTCATGTTAGTATTTCTTTATTATCCTAAGCATCTCTTCTAGTGACTGCCATTTTCAAATAAGAAAGGCAATTGACTTCTCAAATAGAAATGCTGTTAAATATAACAAAATCAATAATTTTCACTTTTTAATGCACTGTATATAATATGACATTTGGTTCTAATACGTAGGTAAAGCAGATCCGGCTATTACAGTATTTGCCAGTGAATCCTGAGCTTATTTGAACCGTATATTTCTAAATGAGGGAGCGGTTCCATTTTTGCTAAACATTTTAAATTACTCTGTCACTTTATGTCTCTTCCTGTCTGTCTCCTTACAATTTATCCATAAGTCAGTTAATATTTATATATTCTAATTAAAAGTATAATTTATATAAATAACTGTATAAAAACAATATTATAATTGTATTGATAATACAAATTGGAAATTATTTTCTGGAATTCTGCCTGAATTCCAGAAAGTGGCGCTATATTAAATGTATGCTATCTATCCATACCTTCTGTGCTATATTAAAATGGCTGTCTGAAAATGACGCTATATTAAATATATGGTATCAATCTATAAATGCTTAAAGCCCTATACATCAGGGATCAGAAGGCTTAAGGCTGGTGCTTGTTTTGTTAATGTCAAAGCATGGAATCACTTCTAACATCGTCAAAGCCGCCAATCTGGGCTTTCCTGTATATCTGTTGGCCTTTTAGGAAATGATGACAACAGCTGTTCCCCTCTCTCCCGCTGCCCCACCGAGTGTACCTGCTTGGATACCGTGGTCCGATGTAGCAATAAGGGCTTGAAGGTCTTGCCCAAAGGAATTCCAAGAGATGTTACTGAGCTGTAAGTAAAGCTTGTCTTTCTTCTTTCTGAATAATTCATATCTCACACTGCAGGGGAAATGGACACTGAACGAAAGGTTTTAGAGACCTGTTTGCAAATTACATTCTATGGGCCTTCAATTAGTATCACCTAAAACCTTAAACAAATAATAGAAAACCTGGTCTAGACACCCTTGGGACATGCTGGTTGGGTGTGGTTCTCTGTTTTCCTGAGGATTTCTCAGTGCCTTTATTATGCTAAGGTGCCCTGTGAAGCTCCGAGAGAGGATTGGGAAAAATAAGGATGCTCACGTACTTACGTGGTCCTATAGCCCTTTTCTCCTGGAGTATCTTGTAAGACTAATGTTCCATCAATGCACCTTCAGAAATGCTGTCTATTTAGTTTATTTTTAGTGTCTGAGATATTCCATATGGTTAATTATTCTTAACCTCTGCATCCCTTAGGAGAATATCTCACCACATGGGATACATTAATGTCTGCAAGGTGGAAAAAGCGGGCATAATTTTTACCTTTAAAAAGAAAAACTCCCCTTTGGATTTGAATGGGAGTCCTTCAGTTTGTAAAGCGTTTGGAGCCAATGATCTCTAACATTTTCATTACTGGCATTTAACCACAAGTTATGTGGCCAATATACACATATCTAGGTACTAAGCACCACCCATACCTCCTTAGCTGCCTTGCGCTATATTGGAAGATGGAATAAATCAGAGAATAAGCTGCTTAAATAATAATGCACACATGCATGCTCTATTCCATTCCTTTATCTGTATACGAATGGGTAATGTACAAATGCTTGACTAGAAATGAGCCATTTTGCCTCGTTGATTTTTGTCTGTATGGAACCATACGTCAAAAATGACTTAAGTCTAACTCTAACTCAGGCAAATGAGTGCCTGTAATTAATGCAGCTGTGTACAAGTACTCCAAATGAGCAGCTTTGATAAACTTTTGGCAACATGGAACCTAGGTAATGAGGTTTAAGAAGATACCACTTCAGTTTTTAAAAAACTTGTTTTCAAATCATGGGCAGTTCTATGAATCCTAATTTGGTTCTGAATTGAACACTTAGACAAAAACCGTGTGATCTTAGCATATGTGCACAAAAGGTCCCTCTTAGATTTGAATAGTTATAAAATGATCGGTTTCTCCCTTTTACTGCCAGTCACAGTTGCTAATTAACTATAAGCACTGCTTTGTGTGTGCATGTGTGTAATTAAATACTTAATTCTTACTTTAATGTGTATTTATGTCAGATGATTATGCTCCATCCAGGGTTGGGAAGCTAGATTCCTATAGAATACTCTGTATGCAAAGCATTGATTGTAGGAGCTCCCCAGCCAAGAACATAGCTCTCAACATAATATTCAGGTTGTCTTTGATGCCAGCATTTTCCTTGTACCATCTAACTGGCCTGTCCCTTAGTCATTTTACCTGGTTCCCACTAAATAATTTTGAAATATGTATTTTTAAAATTTTAATCATCTTTAATTTCCTTACTAAACTTCATTCGAGACCCTGCCTAATTCCTGTCCTGTGTATACCATGTATGTGTTTCTTCTGCATATAGGCAAATCTTCGCTCTGCTTCTCTACAAATTTTTTAAAAATAATCTCTTTGCTAAAGAAAATAAGTTACACTGATGTGGAAATTAGCTCATCTCTCATGAATTCTAGTTTTACCTCCCAGAGAGCTTACTCTTAGAACTATAACAAGTCAGCAGGATTCCTCCATACAGTAATATGTATGCAGGCATTAGAAAAATTTCATGTGCTTATTATATTAAATTATTAAAGAATTTGGCAAAATATTATCTGTAGAAACTTTAAAACAAGAGGTGTCTATTAGTTTTAATCATTCCCATGTAATTTCCCTTTTAGATTGTTTTACATGTAAACATCCATAGCACACATGCTGAATCTTTTTAGCTTTCTCTTAAGTCGTTTTCTGGAATGAACGGGGAGCATTGAAGTGCACGGGGTTATGCTGCCTCCTAGTGGTAACTAGAAAACTTTAGCTACAAGAAAGAAAGGAGGGAGAGGAGCTGAAATACAAAGTCAGAAAATTTGAGTAGGCATGAGGAATCATAACATGTGCAGGCTCTTAATCAAGTATTTATTACGTATTTTGACCATTTGTGACTGTTATATAACTGTTTTCATTTTGAAATAGTTGAAACAGATTGTTATCTTAGGCAATTCCTCAGCTACTGTTCTATCCAGCAGAAATGCTAACCTCAACCCTGGATCCTGAAATTGACCACAACACTGGGGCAAGAGGGGTCACAGGCCCAGTGCGCCAGAATGGATTGTGGGCACATCTGTACCAGATGGCCAAAGTTAATGAAAGACATTTGTACCCCTCACCGTCTATGTTGTGGGAAAGAACAGCCTTGGGAGGAGGTGGAATTTGTTCGTGTGTGTGTGTGTGTGTGTGTGTGTGTGTGTGTGTGTGTATGAGAGAGAGAGAGAGAGAGAGAGAGAGAGAGAGACACCATGAATGTAACTTTAAGCATTCCTTTACTTTCATGTCTTTCCAGTTAGCCCAAAGCCTATCTATATTCTGATTATTCTGCTGACTCTAATCAGACAGGGAAAATTTACATGTATTTTTTTCTATTATTACTTTTACATATATATGCTATAATTGTGCACTTGATAAATGTGATTTTCTGAGAAATCTTCTAAAGTAAATATCATCAAGTAGATAGACAGTGGTAGAAACTATTTTAAGGTATTATTAACTGAAATCTAATTATGTTTTGATCCCCAAATGCCTCCTTTAAACCATGCATTGTTGCTTATGAAGTGTGTCAATACATATGAAGGCAGCGGAGAGTGATCTTGGCCTCAATAGCAAGGTTCTGCCAGTAGTAAGTGCCTGTCATGGTATGAACTCCACATAAACACAAGCAAACTGGAGTTTGACTAAACATGTGGTTATCTGAATGAACCTTCTTGCCGACAAGAAAAGGGTTGGACACATGCCTGACTTCTTAGATGAACCACAAAGAGCTGGACTCACCCGTCTCTCCTTGGCTTTAGAATTTAGTGTAGTGAATTCTCAAAATTCACAAAAGAATTCTACTGGATTGGACAAAGTGCGTTTCCCCTCTTCTTCTATTAAATAGCAGTCTCAGCTCGGAACATGCCGTCTTCAAGTCAAAATTCCCAAGTGCTCCCTTGCCTCCATTAAGAGTAAAATAGTGTTCGACTATTTTACAGCATGCTACTGTTACTTTAAAAAAGATAACATTGTTTCCTCATTTGCAGGTATCTGGATGGGAATCAGTTTACACTGATTCCTAAGGAACTCTCAAACTACAAACATTTAACCCTTATGTAAGTAATGTATGGTGTATTTTTGTCTTTGACTTCTTACTCCATTTCACAAAAGTGGGAATAGCAAGGAGCAGAGATGTAGTGAACCTTTCAGATAATATAAATCATTCACAGAGAGATGCTCCCTCCCCACCCACTGTACTTCTGGTCGCTGGCTGCCTCTTCACTGGGTAGCAGTCAGGCAACAGCACTACTAGGAAACGGCCCTCCTCTCTTCAAACTGCAAATACGATCAGGTCTGTGTATCACAATGCAGCAAATAGGATACTTCTATTGATAATGAATATGGACTATTTTATGACGAACCAAGGAAAGAAAGATAAAATACAGTATTTTTATTCTTGACTTTAAGCAAAAGTTGATAAATGGTAGTAGTCTTACTGAAAATATAAATCTAGTTTATTAGGTTTGATTCTCTAATATAATAAATGATGGATTACGTTACGGGCTTCCAGTATTCAAATTCATTTTTGTAACCCATATTTACTTGTACAGTACTTAAGAAAACAAAGATGCTGACATTCTGAATATAAAATTCAAAACACTAAATTTTTTTTTGTTTGGTTTGATGTCCTAAAATAACATTTTTTGTTAATGGACATAAACAATATTTTTTACCATTTTAAAGTTGTAAGTACAAAGCTATATTTAAAACATGTAAACATTTCCATCTAGTTATGGGCAAAATTTTTTTTGAATATATAACCTTACTCTATATAATGTTACACTCAGAGTAGCCTTGTTAGGAATTGGTAAAATTTCTCACAAAACAAAATATTAGCAATGAGAAGTGGATGTAAAGGGAAATACTTTATCTTTAATTTGTCTACCTGATTTTAGAGTAAATATGACCTACTTAGGAGGCAGGTTTCTAGTGTTCTTATAATAAGGAGGCTTATTCCTAATTAGTGAATTCTAGAAGCCAAGGCAGCAGAAAATATCACATTTCTCAATGTAAAGATTAACCTAGAGAGGTGGGAGGTTAATTAAAATAATGTTGATAACTTTTAATTTTCCTTAAAAATATGAGAAAACACTTTGTAGAAAGTATAGAGGCCTGTTTAAATGACAAATCATGAAATTAACAAAAAAAAAAGAGAATATCCTTTCAGGTGTCTTGTTCTGCCTTTAGCATTTATTTAATAGCAGCAAAAAGTAATTATATACATTTTGTTCAGTTAAATAAACCATTAAATTGCTGCAATTTCCAAAGGGTCACTTAAGCAGAATTGGGTCATTTGTGGGACAGCATGTGATTATTTAAAACCAATTTAAAAATGAAAAGTGAGAATTTGCAGATCCACAAATAGTTTTACCAAGGAGTCATTATATAAGTGTAGGCAAATAATTTTGCTGGTAGAGGTATATTTATTGACATTTAAAATTTAGGTGTAGCCCTTTAGCAGTTAAGAAAATGTATTGGGTTGGCCAAAAAGTCTGTATGGGTTTTTCCATAAAATAAAAGACACATTTTCAATTTTCACCAGTAACTTTATTGACTTGGATATTTTAAATATGTCAGCTGTCTCCTGCATGGTAGAACATTCATTGTTCTCAATTGCTCTCTCAATTTCATCACTATCAACTTCAGGCGGTCTACCTGACCATAGAGCATCATCCAGCGAGAAACTTCCAGCATGAAACTTTGAAACTTCACAAACCACCTTTGACACATTCAATCGTTCATGGCACCTACCCCATACACTCCACAAATCTTTTTCTGTTTCAATTGCATTTTTACCTTTCTTGAAATAATAAGCATAATATGAGTTCTGCCCAGAAGGTATTCAGACATATAATATGACAAATAGAGACATCTATTAAAGAAGATACAAGAAACATTGTACGTAGGAAAATGATGCCTCCATCCCCTTCAAAGTAGGCACCTCGGGCTCTCGCACAGCTCTCCCAGTCGCCATCAGCTGCCCCGTCGTATTTTCCTGGATCTCATCAACAGTCTGAAATCTCTTCCCTTTCAAAGGTGATCTTAGTTTTGGGAAAAGCCAGAAGTCACAGGGTGCCAAATCGGGGCTGTAGGGAGCCGGTTAGGTGTTTCACAAAAAACCTCTGCACAAGCTCTGCACAAGACGTGATGCATGAGCAGACGTGTTGCCATGATGAAGCTGCCTATCACCAGTTGCCCATAGCTGGGTCCTTCAGAATTATCAAAACAGTTTCCGTGGAGGAAAGTTCAAGCTTAATGCAAAATTTGATGCAGATTCATTGCTGTACTTGCTCAGTCATTTTGAATGTGACAGCCACACAGTACACATGCTCACTCAACAGCATCTACTGCCCCCACTGACTAGTACAGCGAAGCTGTCATTGCTCACACATGCATCCCAGTCCATTCTCCTTGGCAGCCAGGTTACATCGATATCACACAAACTGTTCTTGTTATATTAGCAATGGGTGGACTATTTTCAGACAGACCTCATATACCAAAAATGTTACTTATTTTCCATCTTTAATATTAAAATGTCTACACAAAAATTCACCAGTTTTTATAAGTGTTTTTAAATTGCACACTGAAATGTCACAATACTTTGTATTGTTGGTTTGGTTCTGCTTGGAACCAAACCAACAGTACAAAGATGCAAGGAAAATAAGACCAGCAACACTGAAAGGAAAAGAAACCAACACAGACAAGAGGGAAGGAGGGAGGGGTGGGTGGGGGGAAAAGAAAGGGAAGGGGAAAGTCAAGAACATATAACAAGGACTCATGGACAAAACCAAAGGGGAAGGATTGAGGGAGGGAGGAGGGAGGGGGCGAGGGAAAGTGGTGGAGGGAAGGCAGAAACAAATGTATTTGAAAAAATAAATTAATTAAAAAGAGAAAAAATGTCACAATACAATCTAACAAAATTGTTTTGAATGAAGTTAAAGACACTAAGCACTACTAGAGCTATCTTACAGAAAAAACAAATGAGTTTTTTGGCTAACCCAATATTTTAGAGCTTCTATAACATTCCTACTATTTACATAATTATATTGGTCTATTTTAATGGCATTTTGGTACTTTTATAAAGGAATGAATATCAGCTTTTCTGAATCTCGAATTTATTGTTTCATATATTTTGCTTCAGAAATATTTAGTGATTATAAATACACACACATAAATGAGCATAATTTATCATCTGTAATATTTTACTTATTCATGAATCTTTTATTTATATATTTATGTTGCTTTGGGGAAAAATTAGTGAATATATACATCTTCACTAATAATTGTATCACATTGTCATATATATGTATTTTTACATATTCACTAATTTTCTTCTAGAGCAAAATGCAAAATATGTATAATATGTCATGTTATATATTGCATTATATATTATATTTGTATATATTATGCAATTCTGTTATATATATCACATATATAATAAAAATAAGATCAAGTTCACTTATATTATCAATCACTTATAAATTACAACTCATCGTACAAAATTCACTTATAAACAGCCATTTAGGATTGGTAAAAACTTCACATCTCTCTTATTTACTTAACATTCATTAAACAGATATTTACTGAGGACCTGCTATGTGCTAGTGACTTTGCCAAGGGCAAAGTTTTTAATTATGGCGTTGTGAATATAATTAGGAGGTATTCTTTTAGTTATCAGATATGACTGTGTATCAGTGAGGATATGTTCCAATAAAGATAAAGTATGTGTACCTGATGGAACTTTCAAGAACAAAGGTTTCTTTCTTACACATAAAATGTGTCTGTTGTATTGGGAAAATGGCCTCTATATGTCTTTGCTCTGGGCCTGGACATCAGTAGCAGGGCCTGGGGAAGGTCACCAAGTCTTACAGGAGAGGAGAAAGTGTATGGAAGAGAGAGCTCACTCTAAATCTATGCTGAAGTGAAACCAGCTCCAGTGCCTAGGAAGGCGTATGGCCCCTTCTAATGTCAACAGACTGGGCATGAATACCATTACAGCCTGCTTCACCTGGTTACCTGATGTTTTGTTATGTCCAGGTAAAACTTGAGTGTTAACAATGCTGCTATGACTGTGAAACAAAAATAACTTCTCTTTTTATGAATCACTAATATTTCAATTGCTGCGGTAACAGGAGACTCCATTTCTTTTTCTCTTTTAGAGACTTAAGCAACAACCGAATAAGCACCCTTTCTAACCAGAGCTTCAGCAACATGACCCAGCTCCTCACTTTGTGAGTGTGAAAGTGTGGTACTGAGTTTTTTTTTAATTCCCTGGACAAAATGCATTTCCTAGGCATTAGACATTATTCTTGGTAAACAAGACAGGTAGCATCTCTGCCCTCAAGGAATGTAAATACTTGTTGGGGGAAACAGACAAATAATTCCTCAATAAGGTAACAAATGCAGGACATTGCCAAAAATGCTGGGTTCTGTAAAGGACAGAAAGAATAGTTTCTACTTGGGGTGCGGTTAGGAGAGCTCCATAAGCAAGCGACTGGAGAAAGTGACTTCCGGGGTGGCATAGTTCCAGCCTTAGCACCCAACAGTGGTAGGAAACACTTGGGACTGTATTTAGGAAATAAATAGGCTGTATTAGTGACACAACACACATATTTTTAAAAATATTGTGTGTCATTATTATCTACAAGATGCTAAAATAACCCTTTTATTAACTGCTTTGTTTTAAAAATCATATTTGGCCATTCTGGGATACCTGGGTAAGACAAGTTGGCTTACGTGTGTTTTCAGGATTCTTAGCTACAACCGTCTGAGATGTATTCCTCCTCGAACCTTCGATGGATTGAAGTCTCTTCGATTACTGTAAGCATCGTATGTTCAACAAAATTACTCTTTTCTCAGGGATTGAGTCTCCTTAATGATTTAACCGCTTTGTTGATTCTTGGCTGTTTTCAAATATATGCATTAGGATTTAGTACAAATTTGGAAAATCATATCTCATTATTATTGCTCAACAGCTTTGATTTGGACAATATAATTTCCTCTTCTGTAATACTTGTTTTTGCTGTAGTTGTTTATCTGATAATATATAATTCTATAGATATATATTTTCTATAGAGTCAATTTTAAAAGAAATGTAGGAAATTTAGTTTATCGACTACATAATATATGAATTTTAAAGTATATAAAATAAATATGATTCTCCACCCTAATACCCTCCCCAAGAGTTTACTGTTATACTTTGATGTTCTTTTCTGGACCTCCTGTATACACATTTGGCTTTATATGATGATACAGGTATGCCCCTGGCTATATAGATTTTAAAAACCATAAATAAAACTTATCTGCCACATCTTCACTCTCATATGTTTTACTTCCAATTCCTGTTACTCTGCACAGCACTCTAAAGAACGTCCTACATGTTCACTTTGGTGTGAATGTGCTAGTATTTCAGCAGTGATTTGCGGTGGGAAGTTACTATCGAGTATATTGGGGGAATACCAAAATAATTGTCATGTTGTCCTTCAAGCAAGATTTTGTCAACTTACAAATTTATTTTTTCCACTAATGATTGACTAGAGTACCTGGTTTAAAGTACTCTTGCAAATATTGAATATTGTCAATCTTTTTATTTTTGTCATATGACAAATGGAACTTTATTTTCCATTTCTGCTTTAATTTGCAGTTCCAATTACCAGGGCATTTGAATACATTTTATTTGTTTATTGGACATTTGTGCTGCTTAATCTATGAGGCTGATCATATTGTTTCCCAATTTTTATTGGGTACTTGTTCTTTTCCATATTAACATGCCTATCTTTATGCATCTACCATTTGGCTCTAAATTTGCAGGTCTTTTCACAAAGGAATTACTCCTTGTATTTTATATGTGTTGCAGATATTGCCCATTCTGTCCCCTATATGTAATCTTTTATACTATAAATATATTTTCTGTTGTCAAAATTTGTCACTTCTTTTCATTATGATTTCTGAGTTTTATGTAATGCCTCCATTTACTACATTTTAGTTTTATTTTTACATTTACCTTTTCCATCTAGAATTTATTTTATGTATATGATGTGAGGTAGGAACTAACTTTTTTGCTTTCTGAAATAGATACCCAGTTGAACCAAGACTATTTATTGAGTAGACCATCTTGTCTGCACTGAGTAAAAATGCTTATTATAAACGGAAGTTTCATACATGCATGGGGATTTTTCAGAACTCTCTGAATCCTAGGAAATTTAATTTTGCTTTTCTTGCTTTTAGTTCTTTACATGGAAATGACATTTCTGTTGTGCCTGAAGGTGCTTTCAATGATCTTTCTGCATTATCACACCTGTGAGTACCTAGTTCATCATGCGGGTTTAAGTGTAAAACTGTCCCTGATGAGTGAGTTTGGAATCCAGGTGCTCTGCTTCCCCTTCTATTGTCACATCTTAACATGTGGTTAGTTTCACCTTTAGCAAAAATGTAAAGGTTTTCAGTAGAGATGTGGTGTACTCCACAAGATAGCCTTAATTTGTTATTTTTGCCCTCACTCCCCACTAGCTAAGTTCTCTTTGCTTAGCTAAAAGCATTTCTTCGTACAAACATGGCTGACCCAACTCCCTGACTGACACCTTTTCTTTTGATGTTCTCTGATTCTAGAATATTGGCTCTCCTTTGATTGGGTCTTTTCAAACCCAGGTTTTCTAAGTCATATCCCAACTATCATCTCTTCCCTGAGGCCTATCCTAATTTGCTGAAACGGGATTCATTTATTTAGCAAATATCACTCAACATTGACCATGGCACAATGAAAAAATTGATTGGACAGAGTTCGAGGCTTTACAGTGTGGTAGAGGGAAACAGCCAAACCCTCATGGTGGGTAAAATGTTTTGCCTTTGTGTTCCCTGTCATAGCAGCCATCCTTAGCTCCATATTTCTTGGATGTGCAATTTCATGTAGGATAAATGGGGTCCAGAGACTCATCTGGGTCAAATCCCATTATTCTGTTATTTTTAGTTGTACATTAAGACCATGGCAAACCTAGAAGGAAGTTAGGGGAATGGTCCTAGAATCCAAAGCCTCCTTAAGTCCGGCTGAATTGCCATCCCCTGGGAGCAGCCCTCTGCTGTAGATGAAATATCAATGTCAGTGGGTTCCCAGTTCCCTGAAGAGCTTGCCTGCCCTGTTCCCTCTTGGCTTTGCCCTTCCCTCCAAAACCCACCAAACCCCAAAAAGATAAGATGTGTAGAAAATTGAGAAAGGGGGGTGAGCAGAGGACAGCAGTTAGTCATCAATGATGCTGCATGTGAATTTGCCTTATGGGGGCTGTGTTGTCAGTGTAGGTTTTTGTACATCTGACTGACGCCTACAGTTAATATTCCTTCCACTAACCTATTAAGTCCCAGGAGGCAAAACCTTCATTTTTTTCATATTTGAGCCCCAACATCTGCCTCAAAGTCAACATCAGGACCCCTCCGCGGAAGAATTACAGGATGTCAGTTGCCTGAGGTACAATGTTAACGAAAACTGGGACCTCAGGGGTATAAAGCTATAGCACTGTCTGGCAGACGCAGCATAAAGACAGAAGCGGCCGTCTGTGAGCATTAGGGCGCTGGGTCAGAAAAGGCTGCGTAGGAAAGGTGTGGCTGGAGCCAAGTAGGACGTTCCTGTGTGTGACCACCCCCGACTAGGGAGGGCAACTTGAACCTTCTCTGTCATGTGTTCTATTCAGTCAGGTATTTAATTTATGCATTTGTCTTTCCCTCCCTCAATTATGAAGAGCTCTGCTCGCATCATTTTTTCTTCTGTATCCTCCTAAGATAGTCAGAGCTTAGGAAAGGCCATTAAAGATGAGGCCATTTTTAGTTTAGAAGGGTTTGAATCTAACATGTATATGAGCTTAACATTTACTCCAATTTTTGGTTAGAGTTGGGCATTAAAATTGCAGTATAAACTATTAGGGTTTTACAAGCATATTTTGGTGGTTTCCTAATAAAAGAGTAAGATAAATTTTGCTCAGACTGTAGACCTAGAACATTACTAATCGGAAGTTAATTATCAGTCAGACTTAATCAGTTTTTAAATGCCATTTTATGTATCTCTTGTGCCCGAACTTGGCAATTTTACAAACCCATTGGTTAACTTCTTTTGCCTCTGTTTCTTCATCTATAAAATACGTTACTAATAATAAGAAAGATGCTGTTCTTGATCAAATGAGGGAATTCATGTAACTGGCTTACCACAGTTCCTGCCTATTGAGGGAAGTGGTGTTGGCTATTGCCTTGATTACTTTTTCCTGCCACTACTTACCATTGCTGATGTGCGTAGGGACCAAAGTTCTAAATGAAACACTTTGTAAAGGAACATGCAGCCAACTGAAGTCTAAAATGGCTCTGGTGAACTGGCCTTATGCATCTTTATTATTTCATGCATATTCTTATCTCTGTACCTTTGTACTTACTGGATTTTCACTCTGAAACACCCTTCCCAGTCTTTCCCACCAACTTGGTCATCTGGAAGCTTAGACATTTTTAACCACCAGTCCCCCCAGAGGACTTATCCTCTGTTCATACTCATCGTATAAATAAATACTTCCACTAGAGCACTTCTAAATGACACTTGTGACACATGTTGCCGAAGGAGTTCTTTGGAGTTAAAAATAATGTGGTTTTCCTATTTGGGTCCCCACGACCTAGCATAGTGATTGGGTTCTCATTAAATAATTGGCAAATGAAGGATGTGTTGATTTGCACCCAATACAAACCTGTCTCTGCAAATACCTGGGGGCTGTCTAAATTTCAGGTAATTGTTAACACCGGCAATAACTCACTAACTCTCAGTTGCCCACGATTCAGGAAAGTAGGTAATTCCAATGCCACCGTTTTCTTCTAAATTGTTTTTGTCGATAAATATATAGGGGTTTCCTACTGAGCATCACTTAATGTTCCCTTAGAAAATAATACTTCCTGCGTGTGTGTGTGTGTGTGTGTGCGTGCGTGCACTTTTGTTTTCCAGAGCAATTGGAGCCAACCCTCTTTACTGCGACTGTCACATGCAGTGGTTATCTGACTGGGTCAAGTCAGAATACAAAGAACCAGGAATCGCTCGCTGTGCTGGACCTGGAGAAATGGCAGATAAACTGTTACTCACAACTCCATCCAAAAAATTCACGTGTCAAGGTATGGCTTTTAATCATTTGCATTGCTGTGAATTAAAATCCATTGTATTAGTTCCAAAAGAAAAAGAATACCATTTGCCACTGGGTTTTAAAGAATTAGCTGTATAGTCCCAGTAACTACTATGTCCACCCCTGCTTAGATGAGACAGAGCCATTACAAGAGGCGTCCAAGTTCAAATACATTGCAGAAATAGTTTGTTAGAAATTACTACGTTTTCTTTAAAATGCACGAAGTAATGAAGAGTACACAATGTCTGGCAATTCCTCTCCCAGCCTCTAACAAACAAAATACTTTGCTTTTGCTCTGTCTGAACGTGCGCCCTGCTCCCAGGGCGGCTGGGGCCCTGTGGCCTCCTGGTACCAGGTAAGCGGATGAGCCCGCCTGGAAGCTGGGCCGAGCCCCACCGCTGGCCTCTTGTGCTGCCCTCTTCCTGTGACCACCTGGGCTTCCTTCCTTCTTGGCAACCCTTTTCCCCTTTGTTTTATGTCTTTGTGAATTTGATATAGCATCTTAATAAGAAATATTTTTTCTCTTATTACAAGAATAATATGTGCCCAGCATAGAAAAATCTAAAGAATCTAAAGGATAAAATGCAAACAGTAAGGAACATTTTATTTCTGCAAAAATACCTAGAAGGAACCACTATTGAACTTGTTTTGCATATTTTTCCATGTTTACTAGTCAAATGTGTGGATTTGTTTGTTTTTGGTTTTTTTTGTTTTTTTTTTTACTGAAAATGGAATAGGTTATTGTTCTTAAATTGTAGATTTCCAAGAGGGCCACCCATTATTAGTAAATGGAGGAAAGTCTTGAAACTTCTGTATGACTAATCAGCCAATGTTAATTAAACGTGCCTTATCTGTAAAACTAAATCCTGGGTATCCTGGAGCCCACAGAAGTTTATGATGTGGTCTTGCCTCGCAAACCCGGCTGAGAAGACAAGCCTCCAACGTTAGCACATCTAGGCAGGAGAACGTACCTAAGTGGGTGATGTTGTGCAGTGGCTCACAGCATGAGCTCGGAAGCCCAGCCTGATCTGCCCTGGGCTAGAAGCCACGTTCACTTTTCAGTAGTTATGGAACTTCAACAGTGGAGCAGCGCTGTGCCTCAGTTTTCTCATACGTAAGCAGAAGACAACAAGAGTACCTACCTAAAAGAGCTTAAGATTAGATGGCATCATTATAAAAAGCCAATTTTATAGGAACCAAGGATAGAATAGTGGTTACCAGGGGCTGGGGGAAAGGGGAAGTGGGGAGCTGTAGGTCGAAGTGTTCAAACTTTCAGTTATAAGAAGAATGGGTTGTGAGGATGGAATGTTCAGTATGGTGACAATATCTAATGATACAATGTTGTATACTTGAAAGTTGCTGAGTAGATCATAAGCATTCTCACCAGACACAAAAATGTCAACTATGTGAGGCAACAGGTGCATTAATTATCCTAATTCCACAATATATACATATATCCAATCATCACATTGTACACATTAAATATATACCATTACATGTGGCATTTATTCCTCAATAAAGTTGGAAAAATAGATTTTACATAATATATGTAAAATATGTTACCTTACACAGAGGAAGCACCAGTATAGGTTAACTACTAATTTTATTATTATAACACTTCAAAAGGCCAATAAAAAATGATGAGGTACTCTCTGTGATTAATTGATTAAAGAAGTAATTTTCAAAAACTATATCCCCTCCAAATATTTTTAACTTGGCATCTACTGCTTTTTTTCCATAGCTACAATAATTGCAAAATATGTCATTTGCAGTGCACTGCAAAGTTTGACATTTTAGAACAAAACTCTTCCATTAAGTCTTTTCAATGTATTTGGTGGAATCTAAATATAACAGCTAATTTTAAAGTACAAAAACAGGATCCTTCTCTTTTCTTTTTCCTTGAACTTATATTTTTGTCCTTGAATTCTTATTTCTACTACCTCAGAAAATTGTATCATTCTTTGTTACAAAACATATATATATATATAATTAATTTTTTAAATGTCCTGTCACCAAAAACCTGTGAGTTTTTAAATTTTCCTTTCAACTAAATTATTTGCACTAATACCTGAGTCATACATTGGGACACCATTGATTAGGACAACATAATTATTCACCCATGTTTTAATATTGTTATTGAAAATCAAAAGTAGAATTTTATTGGAAATACCTCTCTGGGATTACGTGCATTGATTGCACGAGCCTTTGCAAATACCCAGTGTTTTAAATCGTTCTTTGTGACTGCAGCTGCTCCTTGGGCCAGTGCCCTGAGGTGAATTTCTGGGCAGAGAGGTGCACCATTCGTGGTAAAGAGAGATGGGTGTCAAAGAGGGGAGAAACCGCCATAAACACTTATTCTTAGGAAGGTTATTGGGCCGAACGGTTTTAGAAAGATTGTATAGGGGAAGGTGAGAAACTGCAAATTGATTCTACTACACCTTTTTGTGCTCAAAGATACATGTATTCTGTTTTTCAAAATGCTAGTGATTATCTGTGTTTCTTAAAGTTTAGAGAGTTTCTTGGAGATGTTTTTTTGAAACCATGATGACAGTTTGAAAAAGCTACGTACTTCTATTCCATTCTTAGAGCATCCTGGTTCCTGTTAGCTTGTTCAGTGTTCTCAGAGTTCAAACGCATGCCTATAGGAGGGGGGACCCAAAAATCCTGAAGTTTACTTATAAAAACTCTTATATTCATTCTTGCACATTTAAACTTCAGACACCTTCAAAGTACATTTGATGCGATACGCCTATCAGATGTTTTTTCGGATTGCACACGACAATTTTTGAACTTGTCAATTTTGATCCCTTTTAGTGCTTTTGCAGTTTCTTTGTTTTGCCTCTTCCTCATCAGCAGAACGTTTCCTTTCGAGGACTCTTTTCATCCAGGGAAACCACTTACAGGATTTTAATGCAGATTTATAGGATTTGAACCCCCTACCGTCTCGCGCCCATCTTCACGCCCCCAGGGAAGCTAGAGAGGTGCCAGTGGCTCCCATCGTGGAGATTTCAGTGGCGTCCTCTCGCCGTCTCCATTTGCTCTCTTTTCCTCCTAGACAGTGGCAGCCACTGCTCCTTCTTGCACATTCTCTTTGCCTTTCTTCGATCCTAGCTGACACCTCCTACCCATTCTCTAATATTAACATGCATGGGGTTCTCTCCTTAGCTCTATTAAATTAATTGATTTCAACCTCTTGGCTTCAGATATCTAACATGATCTTTCATATGAACTTCAGATTGATATTCTCACCTGCTTAGTAAACTCCTCCCCCTTGATGGCTTATAGAAACTTAAAACATATTCCAAAACATACATTCGCGTTACCCACATCCTCTTACCGTTGCATTCTGTAGTTGATACAAATGTCTTACTGCTGAACGGTAATTTTTTTTTCTAGAAACTCAAGCATTTCACTTGGCTTTGAACCCCCCAAACTGAGCCTGGTGTCTTGCACAAAATAGACCTTCAATAAATATTTGATAATTGAATCGCTTAATGATGGAATGTTAAAATGTTATTGATATCCATGTTTAAGAAATACAATAATGTAATTGAAAGTAGAGTGTAGAATCTTTGGTTTTTGGTAAAAACCTCCTCTTAGTTAATTATGCCCAACCTCAAATATCCCCTACAATTTTTCTGCATTGTCTTTGACATACTTCAGACTCCTTCCAAGGTCAGTACTAGAGGATTTTGTTATTTGACCCATGTTTCTAAGGGATGCCAGAATGAAGGCAGACTCTGGAATATAGTTAGAAATTTGTGGGCAGCTTTTAGTCATAAATCAAAGCGAGATACAATTCTCAGTGGGTGGCAATATTGGTGTCAGGTGCGTAGCTAGTGATTTGAGTCAAGTAAGCAAGTCTGCCTACAAGCTTTAATGGATTTGAGGTCCAGCAGTTCTTCCATTAAAGATTAAAGTAACTGACAAAGACAAATTGTTAACCAAACTTTCTTCTCATTTTCCCTTTGAATTATTAAGCTAAACACACCTCCAATCCAGATAGCTGATGCTAAAAGGCTCTCTTAAATCAAGACCAAAGCTTCAATCAGTCTATTTAGCTTAGACTGGCCTCTTTTATTTCAGTGACGTTAGTGAAAACCTGTATCCCTGGAGCTAGATTGCTTTTCTCCTCTATGGCACACATCTTAAGAGGGGTATTGTTTTGGAAATATTTTAACAATTCTTGGAACCAGTTTACTTGGGGAGGGAGGAGGAAAGACTGAAGACCAGTGAAGCTGTATCAAAGCAAGCTGTAGTTTCTTCCATGGGATGCAAGAAGAAGAGAGACCCCCTCCTTTTCCGTGCTGTGCTGTTATTTCTGGTGGCTGACCCTACTGGATTTACAAATCGAAGTTGCCGTCTTAAAAACACAAAATCATTACCTCTGTGTGTTGTTGCCCTCTCCTGGCACCCACTCCCATTCCCCCATGGTTTTGACAACAGTAACCCCTAGGGTTTTCCTGAATTTGAGCAGCTCCTGGCATAGACGGAAGGCTAACTGGCAAGATCTAATTTGCCTATGTCAGTGATAAACTTGGGCAAACAAGCAGAGGAAGACTGTATTCCTCCTTTTCCGTAAACCATGCCTGTTTCCGCCATCGCCCCCGCTTCTGTGGAAGTCTAGGAAGAGTGTCTGTGCCCACTGTGGCCCCGTCCCCGCTCCCCCCGTACTCCGTGCTCAAGCGTTCCTTAGCATCTCATTTGATGCTTGAAACAACCCCTTGAGATGGCTGCATTATTCTCCTAAGACCACACACTTAAGTGACAAATCTAGGTGGCTAACTTGAGTTGCTGGACTTCACATTTTCTGTCCTCCATTACTAGGCATTATGCTACAAGACTTTTCTAATTCCTATCCCTGGACGTCTCCCTTCCACTGGGGAATACTCAAGTTTGCAAAATTCAGCAAGGGTCGGCTTGCTTCTGGAGAGCTGTGCAAACTCTTCACCATTTCATTTTCACTTTCTTTAGCCTCTCCCTTTAACTTTGATATCATCTCCTTATTACGGAAACAGACTAAAGATGTCATTCCCCTTGAATAAGAATTTTACAGGAGAGGACCTCAGAGAAAATGTCCTGGGTGGGCAACAAATCATAAGTTGAAAACTAACAGGAGATTAGAGGATAGTTTTAGAACAGAAGCAAAATATGGGTGGGAAGATGACTAAGAGGAGAGAACCAGACACAAGGGATAGTTGACCCTTGAACAACATACGTTTGAACTGTGTGGGTCCACTTATATATGAGATGGGGTGTTTTTTTTTCAGTAAATACCTATACTGCTTTCTGCCTGAAATTGGGAGTCTGAGGATGCAGAGGGCAGTCTATGCAGTGATCTATCCACTTTATGTAAGGGACTTCAGTGTCTGCACATTTCGGCAGTCACTGGAGGTTCTGGAACCAACCCCCCGCAGTTACTGAAAGACAGTTTAAGTTGTGGGAGAATCAAAATTATGTGCAAATTTTCAAGTGCTTGTGGTTCAGTGCTCGTAACCTCTGAGTTATTCAAGGGTCAACTGTAATTCCAACAAATTAGAATACAGAAATAAGATTTAGATAAACCATGTAGATGTATAAATCAAATTATAAGAAGGATGTTTAGTTAGGTGGATTTACAATAAAAATAAATCAGGAAAGGGAATTAAGGTGTTTGGATAGATCAGAGGATACGTCCATTTGGAATTTATATAACTTACAAACATCCTTTGAATTACCCTTTACTCAAACTTTAATACTAGAAATAAAAAATTATCATTGAAGCATTGATTTTCAAAGAAGGATTTTTAAAAAGAAGCAGCAAATAGGATGGTAACTATTGTAATCAACTTTACCGAACTGAAGGAGTTTGAACTCAATATTTTTCTATCTTCCCCAATCATGATATTACCAAAAGAGTTCATGGGTTTAAGAAATTGTTAGAAGAGTCCTGTGTATATAGTAAAACTGATTATTTTGATTCAATTAGCTAAACTGAATGTATTCAAGGGACAATGATCTCCCTTCGTATTCCAATGAGAATTTCCAGCTAGAAAATAATTGAGCAGGATTAGCGATAGTGGAAACCAAAGTAGAGAAATTAGATAGTGCTTACTAATGAGATATGGTTCAGTGGATATTTATTATATAACTCTGGACCATTTGTTAAATTGAACAGGGACTGTTTCAGCCTGACAATTTTGTCACCTGCACACTCTATTAAATTGTTCAAAATGTATCCATGAATCCAGTTTTTTTTTCCTAAAACAATCTCTAGTTTCTCATTTAAATAATCAAACATAATTTTTGAAAAATGTCACATTCCATAGAGTAAACTTAGAAACTGTCAACCCTGAACTCCTCTCTTCAAACCAGTCTTACAAGGTTGAAAGCACAGAAATAGACAAAAAGACAATTTTTGTCAAGGTCTTGGAAAGTAGCCAGACAAACGTGTCCAGTCCCTGCATTTGCTGACGTGCCGTTTTCCTGGTGTGCGTTCTTAGCTGCTTTAGCTTACACCTTTGTTCAAAGTTAGATTCTTTTTTTTTTTTTCCTGGCCTAGCTAAGGGATCCATTACCAGTTAGGTATTTTCTTCTCTATTGCTGATTCTAAGTGTGATAACTTCAGCAAATACAAAGTCATTTGTCGCAGGCTTGTAGCTTTAACTAACTGCTACCATTCACTTCTGCTATAGTCTTAATAGCTAAATTTTTATCCTTAATTGATAAATAAGTTGGGAAGGGTGAGAAATTGGATTTCTATGAGGATCACTTCATTGTTAATCCCAGAAATTTTTCAGCTGTAATTTGATACAGAGACTGCATGCGTTGTTTTAGGTACCAAGAAGAACTGAAGGGGACATTGGCAAGGCCTCCCTTAATGACTGAGGGGTCCCTGGAAGCAAACACGATGCCTTCTTATTAACACACTCATCCCCAGAACTGCCATCCACTTCAAGTGGTGAAGAAGAAAGAGGAATCTCTGTATTTCTGTTTTTTCATTAGTAGAGAAATTGAATCATACAGAGAACTATCCTGTTTCTTATTTTACCCTCAAACCATTATAATATGAATGGGCAGGCCCTTCCCGGGCAGAGGGAAGGCGAAGCTACGCAGTTTTATGGCCACCTTCTCTTTCACACACGAGTTTTCGTCAGTAGACTGAAATCTCACAAACGTAAACTCTAATCTGTAGAGAAATGAAAGGTAGTTTATATGAGCAGAAGTCACACAGCTGCTGGGGTGGAGCCCCTTAGAAAGTTACAGTAGTGACAGTACACGGGGGACGTGCTGCACAATCGGCTCGGTAACTTTGCCAGAAATGATGTGGGATCAGACATGCAGCTGGGGTGATCGTCGCCGTCTCAGTGAGGATAACGTATTTCAGGGAGTCTGGGGATAGCAGAACCCAAATTAAGATATTTGTATTTTGTACATAAAGATGTCACCTTGATAGAGTGTCCTCACCTGACAGCTGCCAAAAGGCAGTCCAGGGAGCTCTCACCAACAGCGCAAAAAGCAGCATCGGCGGAATGTGATTTGTTTTGAGGATGGTACCGTTGCTACACTGGTACCATGTACAGGTTAAACTGTGGGACCGAAGGAAAATGGCTGCAGCTGGATCAGCATTTCATTCAAACCTGTTATGGATTATGGTTTTTGTTTGTTTTTTTTTTTTTAAATGTGTTTTCCAAAAAGTGGGATTTGCGAGTAGAGGTCGTTTCGATGGAAAGTCCTTCTGGGAGAGGCAGACAGAGAAATCTCACCCATTGCGTGCCTGTGCTAATGTGCTAACAAACTGAACCAAAAGATTATGAGGGAGGATATCACAGAGATTCCGCTTTTTGGTTTATTTCCATATGCATAAAAGTAGTGGTGTTTTGTATCTCCCATATGAACATACTACTACTGAACAAATGTTATCGGGGCAGGTGCATACTACTCTATATTTAATTGATGAATTTATATTTTAATGGATGAGTTTCTACTTATTCATAAAATTCACCCACCCATCTCCCAGTGTGCGTGCACCACTCACTCACAGAGACACACTCACACAGTCGTCTTTGGGAAGGATGACATCAGCGCCCATGACAGCTGGCTGAGTTTAAGGTGCAGTAGGTACCGTGGAACTCAGCCACTGAAGCCGGTCATCCATGAAGGGATTGAGCCTAGGACATGGGCATCATCAGCATCAGATACTAACCACTCAAATCAAAACCCAGAGTCCCACTCTGGTGCTGGAGGGTCTTCCCATCCCTCTCAATGAGAAGTCGGCCTGTTGCATTCTTGAACATAGTACAATAAAGTTGATTTCCAGTTTTGTCATGGAGGAGACTTACATACAGATATGTGGCCAGTAACTTTTATACAAAATTTACTGTTACCTTAAGGCATTGAAATAATTTTAAGTGAACTAAAAGTGCATCAGTTTCTCATACTTTTTCAATTAATTTAAGGTCCCGTGGATGTGACTATTTTAGCTAAATGTAATCCCTGCTTATCAAATCCCTGTAAAAATGATGGCACCTGTAACAATGATCCCGTCGACTTTTATCGCTGCACCTGCCCATATGGTTTCAAGGTAAGTGGAAGCTGTAAGAGGCGCCACGATCTCAAAACCCGCTTTCTCTGGTGGATCAGCCTTATTTTGTTGTGCTGACAACTAATACTTGGTTTACACTCAACTGTGCTCGGCCGTTCCTTCTCCAGGGACAAGACTGCGACGTCCCGATTCATGCATGCATCAGTAACCCCTGCAAGCATGGAGGGACCTGCCACTTAAAAGAAGGAGAAAAAGATGGATTCTGGTAGGTCATTTCATGAGTCTGTGACCTGTGTCAGGAGGGTTGGCGCAAGAAGCAAACATGCATTTTCTTTTTCAAATCAAGGAAGATTATTTTTAAAAAGAATGCCAGGAATCTCTTCATAAGGATGATATGGATGAGTCCCTCTCTGAGATATGCAATATAAAAACAAATGGAGATGTTACAGGATTTTCAGCTCAGGAATCTACAGACATCCAGAACTTTAAAAACATGCACATGCACACATTATAATCAATCAAGTTAGATTAGGTCGAGACAAAGTAGTGGCTCTATTATGCTAATTAATAGCCAGCTAGTCTCCCACTGCAAGTCATATATTCATCTGTTATTGTGTGTATTGCGTAAAAGACAGTGTGTAGGTCCCACTGAAACAGAAAATTAATGATTCATTTCCAAGCCCCAATCTGAGCAGAAAACCATGCTGTGAACATTTTTAATATGGAGTTATTTAATCATACAGTACAATTACTTCAGATGTACTTCATGAATTATGAAATAGAGTTCTTATAATGACACTAATAATTTCACATAAGAATGCTAATGTACTACTAAAGCTTATTAGAAATATCACTTTTTATAATAAACGGGCTTTATTTCTGCTTTCTGTTATGAAATTGTCTCTTTTTCATCAAGGCTTTTCGAAGATTATTCTGACACCTATCAAGATGAAATGTGCAATGTTTTATGCCAGTGAAAAAATTGCACTTGTTGAGACATAAAGAGAATATTCACATTTTATAATTGCAAGGAAGACAAAGTTTAATTGTCAATTTTTGTGTTTTGAGACATGAAGAACACTACACATAGGGTAGTGGGTGTTACACTTTTTTAAAATCAGAATCAGTCCTCCTCACTTATGAACAAGGAAGCATCAATTATTTTATTAGGGCGTAACTTGAGATTTACGTAAAATTTGCTTGTGTTTTAGATCTGCAAATATATTGGATTTATTAACTCAGGACCATGGGGCCATTTGCCATCTTGTAGCCAGAATTAATTTCTTTTTCAAATTATTTCTGATTTGGAGGATATTACCTTAAATTGATGCTTACAACATGTCATTTAAAAGCATTTTAAAAATCAGTTTCTTGTAGGTAAAAGTTCTATAATTAATGAGTGTACTTGGGGGTACCCCCACCCCCAATATTTAGACCATATGGTTTTAAAATGCTGGCGGCAGGGGGAGGGGGTTGTTTGTTTTGTTTTGTTTGGATTTTTTACTTTAGTCCCCTTTGGTGTTCAGGTGTATTTGTGCTGATGGATTTGAAGGAGAGCATTGTGAAATCAACGTTGATGACTGTGAAGATAACGACTGTGAAAATAACTCTACGTGTGTCGATGGGATTAATAACTACACATGCCTTTGCCCACCTGAGTACACAGGTAGGAAGAATTAGAAATGCTTGGCCATCAATTTGTGTATCTGAGCACATCACGGGCACTCTGCTGCACATGTTTAGTAAACCACTGTATTGTTTAATAACTGGTAGGTGTTGGAGAAATTAAATGGAATGTAAATAACTGACAGAGTTAAAGATGTTTTCAGGCAACCCAATGAAAGACCAGCCAAGCTCAGCAACCTATCAGGCCATGGCATCCAGCAAAAAAAAGAGTTATCGTACTGAAGCTATTAGGCTCACAATTGAATGACATGGCTATTCCAAGCATTTTTTCCTGCACAAAGCAGCCTGCCAATGCATATGTGAAAAGAGGCATTTTTTTACCTAATCAAAATATAATTAAGCATTTGAGATTGTATCCATACTTGTTTCTTTACTAACGAGTGTTTTCTTCTAGTACTCATGTTCTTTAAAATAAAATACAAGTGGGAAAATATTAAGCACTTTGAATAATCTTATGAGACCATCACCTTTTTTCTGACATTTTATTTCTTGAGATGATAATTCTCCTAAGACTATTCAACCTTTTTAACTTCTTCCCTGGATAAATCAATTTACTCTAAAGTCAACATCAAGTTTATAACTTGGCTATTATGTAAGAATATCTATTTTGATTTATTTTTGTGGCTATGAATAAGAAATTTCACAGTTATAATCTTGTTTTTTTAATAAACCACCCAGTTTTAATATATGATAGAGAAAAACAGAATGTTATACATTTTATTTATAAGAAAAAAATGGAGCAATAGGTTCTGTCACTTTATTTGAAGTTACCATTTTCATTTTGCTGGGTATTTTCCATTAATTGCATTTATTTTCATATAATTTAATACATATTAAGAGTATCAGAGGGTGAAATAACTATGTAGGTGACTAAGATCAACATCTCTAAACCTGAGAGATGGAATCACATCTGTATGATTAACTGTCCCAGGGATTAGTTGGGAAAGCATAGAATTTTTAAGCTTTTCTGGGATATTCGAACTTGACATTTCATTTTACCTTTCTTGGTGGTAAAATGATAGGTAGAATAACGGAGTTTTGTTTTGACACCCAGATCTGCATAAGTCTCTGAAGCTGCCGTCCCATGGTATGATTTTGTTTTTGTACCAGTGAAGCACCTGATGCCATATAAAGTAATATACTAAGTTTCCAGCAGAAATTTGAACATGTCGTATTTACCAACGTCTCTATTACATACATGTAGGCCTTGGGCTCCTTCGTGGGCAGAATTGGAGCATTCTCTGGTATTCTGTATTAATGAAGGTTAGCCAGTCTAGTCAGCATGCACCGATTCTGAAGCCCTTGAGCTGCCCCCAAGAACTGAGTTTTATTGGATGAGCTCCTTTAGACTTGTATAAGAAGTCCAATGTCTGTGCTAAGCTGTTACCTGGATTTACCTAAATAGAATATTTCTCTTTTCCCACCATTGTTCTAATCATTCTATAAAGAGCCTGATTCGCTTCATCTTTGAGGCCTTTTTAAGCCCATATAGTCTGACCAGGGCATGTTGGACCACAGCATTGCAAGTCCACCTTGCCCAGCCGCTGAGATCCAGGGCACAGCAACCAGGAGCTGGTCTGTGTCCCCTCTGTGGTGACAACAAGGCCTAAGAGCACCACAGTGTCTGGGTCCTTACACACCCTTTTTTATGATCAATTACAGAAAGTGGCAGACTCTTCTGAGTTGGTTTGGAGGGGTCCTCCTGCCTTGGCTTCTGATTTGCCGTACCTTGTTCCTTATCCATTTCTTTTGAGTCTTTGTCTTATCTGCTCATTCTTCATGTTCCAAGCTCCCTTCCTACACCTGGTCCTCTTGACCACACATTTTCTGCCCCCTGTGCCCCAACCTGCCCGCTCCGAAATGATTCTGTTCAGCGCAGCTTCCTCTGAGAAGTATTACGAAGCCTTATCTTTGTGTGCCAGATCTCTTCCTTTGAAACATCAAAAAAACCCAAAACTTAGCAAAACCACTTTTTAGCCAAAATGTGACATCTACAGAAGCTGTCATGTGGGAACCTGCCAAGACTATCTGTCAAGAGCCATTTGGTTCTCAAAAAGAACTCTTCTAGTCTTCTTAAGCATAATTATTGCAAATATCAGTTTGCCTTAATTTTGGCAAAGTATAAATAAAAATACTGAGCTCAATAGAATAGCATGAAGATATTACCACTGTAACTGTGTGTTGAGTCTTGTGGGCAATGAAGAGTTTGACGATTTGGCATTAGAGCAAATATCTAAACGAGGCCCTTTTGTAACTCATCTATTAACTGTAGTATTTTTGTCCATATGTGAAGTGAGCTCATTTACAAAATATCAAACAACCATCTGCAGATTTTTAAATCAGTGGCACATAGTGGCCTTTAATTACAGGAAGGTATAAATTGGGCTCTAGAGTTTTATATCCTTCTTCATCCAAGTCCGCAGTTAGGGAGGAATTTTCTTATAATGTGGCTGTATTATTTTAGATTTAAGTTTGGAGTCTGATTAATGAGCATGAGATCTGGAAACAGAAACCCTGCTACGCTCAGGGAATATAATAATGTTGTCATTGTTTAAAAATCATTCAAGTCACAAGTTGCTTTCTGTTTGAAGATTTTTACTCCATACCCCAAAGGCATAAATGAAAATGTGAACTCCTTAGCTGGAACAAATAAAACTTCATGGAAAAAGCTTGTAAAATATTATGGGGAAAGGTTTTACATTTGGCATCCATGGCAAGAGTCAGAATGGACATACTGTTGTTAATGGAGAAAATGCAGAGATCTGAAAGCAATACAGTGGAGAAGTCTTTGTGTGATGGACAGGCTATAAAACACAACTACAAATATTCAAATAAAATGACCACCATTGGAAATTTTATTAAATTGATTTAAGCCCTCATGAGCAGTCAGCACATCACAGTAAATAACTATTGATTTATTAGAAGACAACACTCTCTGTTCTTTTCTGCTGCAGGGATTAACAATGTGAATTTTAAGGGTCAGTATTGTTTTTCGATTATCTAAATCTTGTTATACCCTCCCCGCTCAGTTATCAAAACTGTTGTTTCTATTTAATTCAATTTGTTATCTGTTCTAATTGTATAGTATATAGTGGTTGATTTCTAATATTCTTTATAAAAAATTAATTTTTGTAAAGTTTAATTTAGTACGCTTGTAAATTAAAATCACTACACTAAGAATTGAACGTAGTTAACTTCTGAGAAGTTTAATTCGGTATCATTTTAAATTAAAATCACTATGCTAAGGATTGAGCAAGTACAGCTCTGGAACTGCTAAACAAATAATTTTAAAATTTACTCTAGAGTTTTCATTTTAGCTTAAAAGATTGTGTTTTTGATTTTTTTAATTAAAAAATCAATTATTTTATCCTTTCTGAAACCAAGGCATTTCTTGAAGGAAAATTTTCAAGGAATTCCTGAAAATATATAAGCTCCAAACCTATAAAAATGAAAATTGCAAACATGGAACCCCTGCCATGTTGAAAATTTGATGCCTTTTCTTAAAGTCTGGTATGAATTTAGGTGTTTAACTGAAAAATGTGTTTTTGCATATTTCCTAAGAGTCAGAACCCTGTATCTACTTGGTCAGACTATGTTTCTTAAGCAACCCTATTCTCAGGGGACCATATAAAAAGGTGATCCACAATCTATCACAATGTAACCCACAGTGTCGCTTAATGGGGTGATACAAATTCAGTAAATGAAAGTTTCCACACCAGTTGGGCATGTAAAGACATAGAATATATTTTGCGGAAAACAGAACACTTTAATGTTTCCATTTTGTACCATTATCTCTTTGTTTTCCCAAGTCTCCAATGCCCACACACAAACCATTAAGTGCACAGGTTATAAAATAAGGCTGGCTGTTCAGTCACCTGGTTTAGATGCAGACCTCTGGCTCCCTATGACGGCCTTTGCCTGTTGCCTCATTTCCTCCATGTTTGTCCGCTTGGCCAGCTATAGGTAAGAAATCGAAGCCTTGCTTCACTTTGCCTTCTCACCCTTGGCCTCTCTGTTGTTAAATGCATTAGCTTCCTGTGCTCTGCTGTTGTATCGCAATGTAAAAAGTCTTTTGTCTCTTCTGTCTTTGTCGCTGCCAGCTGCTAATCTGAATGAGGTGGAAAAAGGTTAGTTGCCTTTTAAGTCTATTATGATTTTCTTTTCTGTCTCCCTCTTTCTTTTAAAGCTACACAGATTTCATTATGTTGGAATGCTGACATGGTAAAAGGAATGTTGACAAAATCTGAGATTAATATGTTCAATCAGTCATGCAGATCCTTGATAGACGAGTAGCTATGACAAACATTATAAAAAGGGTATCTGAAATATGCTTTCCCAGTTTCCTAGCAGGCTGTGACAGAAACCTCCCAAGTGGGAAGAAGGGTGGCTAAGAAGAAAGGCTAACAGTTTCTACTTTCTACTTTTCTGTATGCTTTCACTTTTTTTTAAGTATAGTGTATCTTATTGATTATGCTTTTACTTTTTTTGAAGATATCGTGGACATGAATTATTTTTACAATGAAAAATAGACATCATTTATAGGACATCAGATAGGATATAGATAGAGAAATGTTTTCAATAGTGGGAATTTTTCAATGCTGTTTAATATCTTCAGTAATCTGAAACAGGAGAAACACTGAAAGGTATATACATTTATGAAAACATTTTATAAAATGAATATTACAAAGCCCAAGAGGTGGATTTAGAAAATGATATTGTCAAGTTCATATCATGAGTAATAGGCAGTGTTTGTAAAGCATAAAAAGAACCACATTTAATCATTGATATCAATATGGCCCATGCAGCTCCCAAAATACATCAGGACCCAGGAAAGGAAGTCCTAGAGCTGATTAGGGCAATAGGCACGTTTGAGGGATCATTATGGAATCTTTGTGAAACATGATCTTGAAGATTCAGAATTATAACTAAAAGCATAAGAGTTTTTACTGATTCTGTTAACCAAAAGTCTTCGAGTGCCAA